GGGCCAAAGATTGGACACATCAACTTGAAGGCTGCAGCTCCTTATTAGGTTGGTTTTCTAAGCTCAGTGTTCCTCAGATGTGACACAGACTACTGTGTGTGCAGCGTCCACCAGGGTCCATTCCACATCACCCTGGTGAGATGAAGAAAGGGCAAGGGGAACCAGTGCAATCCTGAAGCTCATGCTGCCTAACGTCCCACAAGTAATAAACTGTCCGATTATATTTAGGCTCATTGTTTCCTTGCTGACCAAATTTACAGAAGTGTGGGACACGAGTTGATCTCGCAGCTTAAGTAGTAGCTGCTGCACAGGGACTGCCTGACCACTTGACAACCACCACTACTATTTTAGGCTACCTGGGAAAAAATGAGACTTAATATTGAGGGACCAAGAAAGTCTTGGGAGGGGGCAGACATAGAATGGAAAGAACATCACAGACAGAAGGAACCATATATGGTAAAGGCCGAGAGATGAGGGACAGCGCAGCCATGAAGGGAAACCACAACTAAGATCCCTAAAGCCTTCATCCGGAGATCTTTTAATCTTCATAATATCTGACAAACTTCTACTTGAGCCTAAAACCAAATTCATCTCTCTGTATTATTATTATTGCTCATGTTAAAACTGCGTCAGAATAAGTAATCCTACTGAGGTGCAAAATGCATAGCAGGTGAATTGGGTCAGGGAAGAGACTCAAAAAACCTCAGTTTCAAGAGTAATGAAAATTGTACCTCATTAAAACTAAACACAATAGCTCAGTACTGGCAATATATAGTGGGAGGACAAGACTGAGGGAGATGAGAGAAAGACAGAAAGGAATTCAGGAAGGGCCTTTTGTGCTCTGCTTTGAAGGAAGTTGAACTTTGTCTTGGTGATTAGTGAGAACCATTGAAAATTCTGTACCAAGGACAGAGGCATAATCTGACTTGAAGTTTAAAAATAAAATCCCTCTGATGGAAGCAGATAAACTAGTCAGGCTGTTATTGCAGTAATCCATGCAAGAAATGATAAAGAGTAGTACAAAGGTGTCAGCAAAGGGAACTGAAAGAAGGAGGCATATTTAAGAGATATTTGGAAGCCAAAATCAAATGGCCTTTAATTTCAATAGAATAATTGCGACTCTAAGTAAGAGAATAATTTCAAGTAATTTTCTTATATAAAAAGAGTGGATATAGGCACATGCATTACTCAGGGTTCTCCAGAGAAATAAAAGTAATAGGCTATACATAGATATATAGAAAGAACATTATTATAAAGGATTTAGTCATGTGATTATGAAGGCTAAGAAGTCCTTCAATCTTCCCTCTGCAAGTTGGAGGCCTGGGAATGCCGGTGATGCAGTTCCAGTCTAAGCCCAAAGTCCTCAGAACCCAGGGAGCCAGTGAGTAAGCCCCAGTCCAAGTCTGAAGGCCCAAGAACCTGGTGTGCTGATGTCCAAAGGTGGGACAAGCTCAAGGAGAGGAAGTGTATTTGCCCTGCCTCTGCCTTTCTGTTCTATTCAGCCCCTCAGGGGACAATATCCACCCATTGGTGAAGGCCATCTCACTAATTCAAATGTTAATCTCTTCCCGAAATACCCTTACAATCATATCCAGGAATATTTTACCAGCTATCTGAGCATCCCCAAGCCCAGTCAAGTTGACACATAAAATTAACCATCACAGCATGGTTGCTACATCCCTGTTAACTTCTGTTAACATCTCCATGCTGTTTTGTGTCTTTTTCAGGGTCTCAAGTAGCATCATATCTTCAAACAGCAATGTCCATAAAAGGGAGGAAAATGAGAAACCCTATGCACAGGTATCTCTTTGTTTTTTAATCAGATGGAAAGATCTTTCCAGAAGCCTTTGAACAGATCTCCCCTAATGTCCCATTAAGAGGACTGGGAAAAATGTCCATGCCTTAGATGCAAGGAAAATTGAGAAAGTGAAATCTGGTCCTTTAGCCTCTAAAAGGAGCGATAGTTTCCAATGGTAAGGAAGAGAGGGTTGAAATTGGTTATTGAAGAGACAAGCAATAATGTCTCCCAGAGTAGATTATTAGATGTGGAAGCTAAGAAAAAAAAGATAAATCAAATTACTGCTTAGACATCTGGCTTGGGCCATTACCCAATGGTATTGCCATCAACTGAACTAAACAATGAAAAAGGAATAGATTTGGGGTAGAGTGATGAGATCTCTTTGAACACATCTGAATTTCCAGTTGGAAAGCCCAGAGCTCAGTTCCACAGGAACTTACAACTCAAGATTGAGAGCTAAGCTAGAGTTTTAAGCTTGAGACAATATAACTGAAGTCACAGATCAGAAGTGTCTGCCTACAGACAGTGTGTAAAGTGATTAGAGAATGGAGCCAAAGAGGGAATCTTGAAAAGAGAAGTCCATTTGAGAGACTGAAAAGGAAAGTCCATGAAGATAAGAAGAAAAGCAGGAGAAAACAATAGTTTAAAATGAAAGAGAGGTCCACAGTACTAAATACTTCATAGAGATCAAATGGGAAGATAAGAAGTGCTCATCCGTTTTAACAACCAATATGTCACAGTGACCATTGCCAAGCAAGAAAAATGGTAGGTAGACGTAGAGAATTTTGTTCTTGTTATTTGGCTATTGGCTATGCTGTTTATCTTTTAATGAGGCCAGCGTGAACCCATGGGGAGAAAAAAGGAAGACAAAAGTAAGAGTGATCTGTGATGGCTCTATGACTGTAACTTACAGTTGTCAGAAAGTGCCTGTGCTTTGGATCTTTGTAAGACCAGTGAAGCCACCAAGAGTCTGTCCGTGATGGTCTGTAGATCCCCCTTCTCCTCCCTAATATATAAAATATTAGCAGCCATTTCTCCAATTTCACCCCTTATTATTGCCATTTCATGCTCTAAAAAGTACAGTTTATTTATCTAGGTTAACTTTTTGACAGTCATTTGTTTACTACTCACAAAAATGGGGGAAATGAAATTTAAAGGGAAATGCTATTCAAAGAAAAGAACAATTCCTGTGCTAATGATCTGAGACAGGGTCCCAGTTTGTATGAAAAGCTTGCTATTAAAGAAAAAAATCCTAAAAGTTTTCATTACTCTTATTTTATGATTTTCTTTTTGAGTCTCTCTGGTAAATCTGTTAAATCTAACAAATGAAAATGAGTTTTATATTGCAGTAAACTTCAATCGAAAGGATTTTCTAAGTAATCCTTGCTCTTACTGCTATTCTATAGGTTATCCAGAGTGACCTGCTATCCATAAAGAAGAATTAGAAAAAACAAAACTCATAGTTTATAAGAAAATGCAAAACCGATGTTATAGCAGTTTCAATCACACCCTCTTGTGTTTAAGTGTAGCATAGCAGCTCTTAGGTAAAACTGAAATAACATTGAATTCTGAGCACCCATTATGTTCCAGGCTCTATGCTGGGTGTTAAGACATAGCTGTGAACAAGACCTACAAGGTCCCCTACCTTCAGGATTATTCAGGATTTGTTTTAATTATTCTGTAGGTTTAAATTCCATTTAAATACCTCTCTGAGTGAAGATCAAGCATTTCAATATATGGCATAAATAGATTTATCAATAAAAAAGAAATATCAATAATTCAATAATTTCTTCAGTGTACAATCTTAAATTATTGATTCAGTTTGCCTCTAAAGTTTTCTCCTTAGCTTCTAGTGGTAAAAGTTTTAGAATAAACAAACTTGTTTAGTAGCTATTATTTACAAAGATACAGTCTTCAATACAATACATTGTGATATTTAATTCTAAAGCTCTTATTTCATCTTCATGTTAGCTGTCATTGAGAAGCCTCGAAGGCATTAATTTCATAGTTTATGATCCCAGGACAACTTTCTTTATTAAATTACAGGCAAGAGGTAGTACTTCTTTCTCTGTTATTAAAACTGAAATTCCCTAAATCTCATTATATATTCTTACCATCTGCATTTTTATGATTCTTGTCTAAAGAAATCTTCTGAAAATCTCATTGCTGATATAAATTTTTTCAAATTTTACTGTCTGGTTTTTGTGGCTTTCAAAATCAAAAGTTCTTGTTATAATTTAAAGGAACAGTGACTAAATTGCAATGTCAACATATAGGTGATGTGTTATGTGGCCCAGAATGAACCTTCCTATAACGATGCAAATATGACAAGATGTAAACCATGGTGGACAGATTTGGTAGAATTAGATTTTAATAAAACACTTCAATAATCAGTCATTCTAGGTTTTGATTCCATAAAGATGGAACAGTTAAATCATCATATCTCTGCATCAAGAGCTTGTTCCTTCACTCCTGTGTGAGAAGACCACTGTGCACTACTTATTTAATCAACTGCCCTCTTATTCTTTCTGCAATAAGCCTTTATTCTACTTTAGTGTTTGGGGGCAGAGGTATTCTGGATAAGGTTAGTACTAAGGGTGGTGACTTTAGCTCTTCCTCCAACTTCATCAAACCCCAAATGACCCCCAAATAAACCTAAAATCTAATTAAAAACAATGAGCATGCTATGCAAATGTATATTCAAATCAAGTCCCTCATCTCTCCTCACAACCAGATGGCTGACTCAAAACCCCACTTACATTAAAAATCTAGATGCCCCAATTTTCCCTCATAGACTGTAGATTTTCTTTAATAAAGACATGATGTGAGCATATTCCACTTTCTTGCAGGAAGGCTTTTGTCCCAGCTAATTGTATTTTGAAATCTGTGGCTAAAATTACAAATGAAAGCTTATTAAAACCCTTAGGCATCCCTTATTGCCTGCCTTGCCCCTGGAGGCCTAAGTCATGAGCCAAGGAATTTGATGTGACAAACAATTGTTCCTGCATGTTGCAAAAAAGTGAGGTAACATCTTTGCTCGAGACCATGAAAATCTTCTCAGCGGATAGATCCAACATCTCTGAGGGCCTTGTTATATTTTCTTTCTTTACATCTTTTTTCTATAAGCTGTTTTTCTATTTAAAAACTTTTTTTTTTTTTACTTTTTAAATTTTCTTGTTAAAACAAAGACATAATTACTCACATTAGCATAAGCCTACACAGGGTCAAGATCATCAATATCACTGTCTTCCACCTCCACACGTTCTCCGGCTAGAAAGTCTTCAGGGGCAGTAATATGCATGGGGCTGTCACATCCTATGATAACAGTGTCTTCTTCTGGAATACCTCCTGAAGGACCTGCCTGAGGGTACTTTACTGTTAATTTTTTAAACTATAAATTATTTAAACTATAAATAGGGGAATATACTCTAAAATAATGATAAAAGGTACAGTATAGTAAATACATAAGACATTAACATAGTCACTTATCATTACCAAGTATTATCTATTAATACTATACATAACTGCATGTGTTATACTTTTATACGACTGGCAATGCAGTTGCCACAACCATGTGAATATGTCGCTCTATGGCTTTACTATGGCTATTGTTACTAGACTGTAGGAATTGTTCAGCTCCATTATAATCCTAAGGGACAGCGGTTGTATGTGCCACTCATTGTTGATCACAATGTTGTTACACTGCACATGACTATAATGCAATCTCCACCATTCTACCTTGTTCTTCCTAAAACATATCTTCTTGTTTCGTATCTTGAGTTCGTAAAGCTTAAGTAACTCCCTATTGCCTACAATATAAAGGCTAACTTCTATGCATAGCCTATAAGGTATTTCATCATTTCACCTCAATCTCTGTTTCCAGACTCAATTTCTGCTAGTTTTCAAAATACATTCTGCTCTTAGCTATATGGAAGCCACTCAGGAGTTCATGTACGTGCCTTTCATTTACCTGCCTGCCTGCTTTCTTGTGCAAGCTATTTCCTGGGCTTAGAAGGCCCTCCTTTGTATTCTGTTATTGGCAAAATCCAGCTTACAATGATTCACTCTCTACCCAACTTCAATCTGTTCACAGCGTGATTTTGTTTTACAAACAAATCTGGTTATGATATACCCAGCTAAAACATTCTGAAGCATATAGAATTGCATGGGCCATAAATTCCAATGTGCCCTTTCTTTTTTTTCTCTGATATATCTATATGACATATATCTTTTAATATAACTTTTACTTAAATCTTAAACCCTCAAGCCACATTTCTATGAAAGCAGGAAATTTAAACCAGTTATTTTTAGGTTAATTTGTTTTATTGTTTTCTTAATCATTTCAAATGTATGTCATCTCACTTCTGAGTACCCACCTCCTGCTCAGGATGGCATCTATGGTGGGAGATTACTATTGTCTACATCAGCAGAGGCATCTGGTCCAGAGCCATTCTCTCTCCTTTGATATATCCACTGCAATGGATCAGCATCTCATCCCATGTGGTTTCCGTCTTCATTATATATCCCAACTGGTATCTGATGACATATCATTTGTCCATTAGCTACATCAGTATGATGCATATTGACTGAAACACCACTTCAAGCTCTATGTCAGATAACTTCAGACTCCATTAGATAACTGCAGGCTACTCAGGATGGATAATAAGGTATGATTACTCTCTTATGCTTCTTCTCCCTTGTCACCTACATAGCCATCTACTACTCCTAGGCCACTGAAATGCTGTCACTTCCCTGGTTTGTGGCCTATTAAAACTTTTCTACCAAACTCTACAACCGAAACCTTGGTTCATTTCCGTTAAGCTTTCCATTCCTTGACTATTTGGAAAACAACAGTCTCTATGTTCAAGATTACCCCCAAACATAAAGTCATGCTTCAAAGTGTCATGACTGAGACTACTTTGCATCATTAGGGTTTACTGAGTGATGGGGCGGTGGCAGTGATTTGTATCTGTATTTTCACAAGACTTTCAGTTTACTGAGGGAAGAGCTCTTTGTCTGTTTTACTCATGTTGGTGTCTGGCACAATATTCACTCAATATTTACCAAGAGCCTAAGTGCTCTCAGACAATATCGAAAGGTCAAATTAATGACTCAGCTTACATGTCCCTGCACTTGTCCAAAACAATCTTTTTTCTGTCTAGTATTAAAGATTCTGCTTTTGACTACAGTAACTTTTGCTTTAGTCTTGCTACAAAGAGCATGGCAGATGGGGTACAAAAACAAAAAGAGGTGAGAAACACCCACTTGAGAAAAGGGAAGGCAGGACATGACATAGTGCAATTAAGACAGAATCAACCCTAGTCAGTATTCACAGCATGGTCAGAACTGATTTTTATAGTGTCAAAAACATGTAAAGAAGAAGTAAAACCACTGAGAAAGAACACATTTCACAAATGTCTGTCTATGTTCCAACAATATTCCCTCCAAAGCTCTTTTATTACTTGCAGGTTTATTTGACCAGAATAGATGCACAATAAACAATTGTTAGATGACAAATGATAGTACTGGGAAGGTGTTAAAAATGGCTTTGTAAACTAACTCAAGGCTATAGTAATAAGAAATGTGAAAAGGACCCCCTAGTCACCAAAGGAATATCCTAAAACTAAATTGCCTGCCAGGAGGAGGGAGGTCAGACATGCTTTATGCCCCCCATCCCTTCTTGGAGACATCCTTTGTAACCCATTAACAGGACTAAGGGTATTCAAGACACACCTGCAGGTCCTCAATTGACACAAATCTATGTCAGGTGGCTTATCTCTGATAACAGCTCCTTATGTTAAAACATTCTAAGCCTTTAAACAAAGCTTCATGTCTTTAACTAATTACAAGCCAAAGAATCTTTAACCCCACCTATAACCGTTAAGCCTCCCCCAACTTCGAGATGTCCCACCTTTAGGGCCAAACCAATGTATGCCTCCCGAGTATTGATTTATGACTTCACCTGTAACCCCTGTTTCCCTGAAATGCATAAAAGCAAACTGTAACCCAGCCACACCAAGTCCACTTGCTCAAGGCTTCTTGGCAGTGGCTCCGGGTCAGGGTCCTCAAATTTGGTCCTCAGAATAAACTTCTTTCAAATATGATTTCAGAGTTTGGATTTTTCCATCCACAGAAAACTCATCTGCTATCAATGCAGGAGAAACGTTGCTGTTTGAATCACTATCAATGAAAACGTAACGCCCCACACTTGCCTAAGGATTAAGCAAGGAGTAGGGATCATTTTAACCTGAGAAGCAGCCTGCGCTTACAATCCAGGTGCAGAACTTCTGAGAGGTTGAGGGCATGATATTTCACATTTACTTTAACTTTGTAGTTTCCAAAAGAAACAGTCACCTCATGCTAGTAATCAAGAGCATTGTTCCTAACAGAGCCCTAAAAAAGAGTTCCTAACAGGGTATGGTGAGGACTCACAACTCTTCTCCTTTCGTATGATTAATTTCTTTCTTAATAACTTCCCCAAGCCTGGGCTCAGTGGCTCACACCTGTCATCCTAGCACTCTGGGAGGCCGAGGCAGGAGGGTCATTTGAGCTCAACAGTTCGAGACCAGCCTGAGCAAGAGCGAGATACCGTCTCTACTAAAAAAATAGAAATAAATGATCTGGACAACTTAAACTATATAGAAAAAATTAGCCGGGCATGGTGGCACATGCCTGTAGTCCCAGCTACTTGGGAGGCTGAGAGGCAGGAGGATCGCTTGAGCCCAGGAGTTGGAGGTTGCCTTGAGCTACAGTGAGACTCTGTCTCAACAACAACAAAAAATTAAATAAACAGATAACTTCCCCAGCCCTGCTTCCTTCCTTCTCGTGTGTGGACCAAGACCTGCTGATACCCGCCTCTCCCGCCCCTTTCTTAGTGTCTCATTCAGCGCATTAAATTGCATTCAGTTTTAACTCGGTGGCCTCTTTCTGAGGTGCTCCGGTGGCACCGTGGTTTGCCTTTCTGCAAACTTTAACCACTTCCCTTCGAGCATCAGCTATAGTCGACAGCCACAGATGAGCGCTCACAGCGACAGCCGTGATACGACTTTCCTAATTTTTCATGTGTCAAAATAAAACTGTGAACGTTTAAAAATAACGTCATGAAAACATATATGCCTATGTTACCTATTCTGATATTTACATGACAAGGAAAAAGCTGCCTGTAAAGTAAAACAAGCTCTCGGTGCTTTCAAGCTTTCCTCATCACACAAGAGCAAAACGGGCTCCTCCTTGTCCATGTGAGGACTGAACTCTTGATTTTTTTTTTTTTTTTGCTAAAAACTCCTTCCTAAGGAGGCCAGCTGGGTCAGGCTGGCAAATGGTAAATTCCCACTAAGCGGCTTTTGTTAACCAAATGAAGCGGTGGTTTACTTCCCAACCTGACTCGGGTGTGGCATTAACATCACCTAAAAGATAGGAAGCCCCTGTCTTACCTCAAGCATCCTAGCAGATGCCTATCATAAATCTAAAATGTCTTAACTCAAGCATCCTAGCAGATGCCTACCCTTAAATTTAAAGCATCTTAAAGCACCCTAGCAAGGCGCCTGTTGTACATTTAAAACGCCCTCCTCAGCAAACTGGTATTAACTGAGTAGCACCTAAGTGGACACATAGGTACTACAGTAATAGGGTATTGGGCAGGTGGGAGGGGGGAGGGGGGCGGGTATATACATACATAATGAGTGAGATGTGCACCATCTGGGGGATGGTCATGATGGAGACTCAGACTTTTGGGGGGAGGGGGGGAATGGGCATTTATTGAAACCTTAAAATCTGTACCCCCATAATATGCCAAAATTAAAAAAAATAAAAAAATAAAATAAAAAAAAAAACCGCCCTCCTGTCTGGACCTCCCAGAGTGCTCATACTCTTATCTTAAAATAAGCGTGTCCTTTCTGGTCTTCTAGATGAAGTCTAACTCTCTAAGCCATTGGCCAGCCAAAGAATCTTTAAACCCACCTGTAACCTGCAAGCCCCACCCCGCTTGGAGATGTCCCACCTTTTTGGGGCCAAACCAACGAGTGCCTCTCATGTATTGACTTGTGACTCTGCCTGTGACCCTCGTGTCTCTCTGAAAACGTATAAAAACCGAACCATGACCCAGCCACGGGGAGCCCACTTGCCCAAGGCTTCATGGCAAGTGACTCCGGGTCACGGTCCTCAAATTGGGCTCAGCATAAACCTCTCTCAAATATTTCAAGGCTTGGGTTTTTCCGTCCACACATGCACAGCTCAGACCACCGTGGGGACCTCGAGTGCCGGCTGTGGGCGAGGGTCCCCGGCTGGTGAGCGGCCATACCAAAGTGGTTTGACCTTGACGAGCTTTGACACAAAGGGCCTGGCCGTCATTTTGCTCGGGGTGAGATAATTTGGGGGAGGGAGACGCATCCCTATGGCCATTATAAGCAACCGCTGCGCCTGTGAGCGCTGCCGTCCTCCACGCGAAAATCTCACAAACCTGAGGAACCCACTGCACTTCAACCCCTCTCAGGTGTGAGGGGGAAAAAAAAAGTGGCGGCAAGGTGATGCTCTCCGGCAACTGGGAACTCCTGGGTGGGAAGGGTCCTCCTGCCACCACCACAGGTGTGCGGGCTTTGCCTCTCGGCATTTCTCCTCAGGCTGCGCCGGCGGCAGCGCGCATGCGCGGCGGCGTCCTCGGGCCTCGCGGCTATTTATTTCGGCGCCTACTCCATCAGCTTCCGGGTCGCAGGGTCTTGGAGGTCGGTGCGCCGGCCCCGGGTCGCTCGCGGGCTGCGGGGCGTCAGTTGTTCCGGTTGTGCCAGCGTCGGAAGAGCCGGTGGGTGTGCCGGTGAGTTTAGCGGGGTTGGGGGTGCAGCGCTTCAATGAAGGGGCTTCGGGCGCGGCTCCGGCTGGTGGTTACCCTCCCATGTTGCGGGGTCTTTGTGCGGAAAGAAAAGGGGGCGCGGGGACCCCCGGGTCTGGGTTGGGGTCCCGGGAGCCTCGCGGCGCGAGTCGCGTGTGGCGTCCCGGTCCCGGTCTGGTCCGGCTCAGCCCCGGCTGGTCGTCCCCGCCGGGACTGAGCCACCCCGGGGAAGGCTTGGTGACACACTTTCCCCTACACGTGTTAAAAAATTGGTGACATGCATCCTCGTTTGCGTTCCCTGTGGTTTGCGGAAAGAGCGTCCCCCTGAAGCTGCTCCCCTGACTTCCGGCAGGAACCTCCTTCTCCCGCTGCTTCTGGATCCTTCCCTGGGAAGGGTCCTGTGTGTGGCAGGGCCACCCTGGCCCTTTGAGGTCAGGGGTCGGGTAGGGTGAAGCTCAGACCGGAGATGCTGGGATCAGGGGTCCTCAAACTTTTTAAACAGGAGGGGGCCAGTTCACTGTCCCTCAGACCGTTGGAGGGCCCAGGCTATAGTTTAGAAAAAACTATGAACAAATTCCTATGCACGCTGCACATATCTTATTTTGAAGTAAAAAAAAAACAGGCGCATGTGGCTTGTGGGCCGCGGTTTGAGGACGCCTGCTAGATTTTTAGTCCTCACCCTGCCACTCACTGTAGCTTCAGCAGGGTGGAAGTTCCCATCCAACTCTGGGGTTCTGCAGTTACTTGCATTTGTGTAACGCAAGTAACTGCAGCCCTTTCCCTCCTGGGATGGATGCGCATCCCATAAAATGAATCAGCACCTGCGTGAAGGACAGTGCTCTGTCGCCGTCGTTTCTTCATGCTGTCTGGTCGTGATGCCAGAAAACTGGCCTAAGGCCACTGGCAGGTTTGTGTGGACCTCTGATGACTGGCAAGATCCGCAAAAGGCACATCTTAAAAAGCTGAATGATCAGAAGTCACTCTGTGAAAAAGACACCTGCACTCGAATGTTTATAGCAGCACAGTTCACAATTGCAAAGCTGTGGAAACAACCCAAGTGCCCATCCACTCATGAGTGGTTTAATAAAATGTGGTGTATGTGTGTATATACCATGGAGTACTATTCAGCTCTAAGAAACAATGGTGATCTAGCACCTCTTGTATATTCTTGGCTAGAGCTGGGACCCGTTCTACTAAGTGAAATGTCCCAAGAATGGAAAAACAGGCACCACATGTACTCACCAGCAAATTGGTATTAACTGATCAGCACCTAAGTGGACATACAGGAGTAACAGCTGTTGGGTGTCCAGCAGGTGGGGATGGGGGGTGGGCACATAATGAGTGCCATGCGCACCATCTGGGGGAGGGACACGCTTGAAGCTCTGACTCCAGGGGAGGGGGGGCATGGGCAATATACGAAACCTTAACATGTATACTCCCATAATAGGCTAAAATATAATGAAAAAAGGAACCACTTACGCTAAATAGAGAATGTTTTAAAAGTAAAAAAAGCTGAATGAATGTGGGAAAGACATTCTTCTTTCCTCTTCCTTAGTGAGGGCATTCATTTGGGACTGTCGGAGGTGAAGTCTGTGCCCTCCAGAAAGTTTTAATAAAAACCGAAAACTTGACTATACTTTAGTTTGAAAGGCTCCTTTGAACGTCTTTGCCACCAAGTGTCTGGTGTTCGTTTCCAAATTTAACCTGGTTGTAAGAATCACCTGTTGATTGTGAAAGTACAAATTCCCTTCAGGTCTGTTGAAACACTCTATGTCCAGGGAGAGGGACCTAAGATTCTACATTTTTAACAGGTGTGCTAAGTGATTTTCAACCGATAAGATGTAATTGGAGCAAGAATCTTTGAGCCAGATGCACTTAGGTTTAAATCCAGCTCCCTGTGGCATTTAATAGCTTTATGACTTTGGCAGATAGAGGAGTTGCAGATTTCTCTACCTGAAAAGTGAGGATGATATAATTTCAACTTCAGAGACTGTTAAATTAAGTGATCCCAAGCTCTTGGATAATAAGAGTCCTTCTCTTAATCATTTTTGTTTCTACAGAACCTAGCATAGTGCTTAGGATATAACAGTCCCTTACAAGTGTGTTGAGCTAAGAGGACACAGAAGACACATGAAACACTCTAATGCCCTTCGTCTTCCTTACCTTATAGCTTTGTTGTCTTTTTATTAATAATCAATTTGTCAAATGTTGTTATAAATATATCTTTTGATAGTCATGACTGCCAGTAATTGATTCCATAGTCTATCTCTGAAATTGTTTCTTACATTAGATTATTGATAGATTTAAATGGAAGCTGAGTCCATTTGTTGGACTGAATATATGACTTAGTATGTCATTTAAGTCATGTATGACTATGAATGCTATTTATTAGTTACTCTTTGAGAATTCTAGGTCATGGTGATCATAATTTTTTGTTATGCCAGAATTCTAAATCATTGTTTTTAAAGACATCATTGAGATTCCATATATTCATTGTAATAAGACCTCTACTCCCATAACTTAAAAAACTATTGTTCTGGGTAAAGTATGTGGGTAACAAAACTCAGGAGTGAGGAAGCCATGTTATACAAGGATTGGTGTTGGTGACTGATGCATTTAAATGTAAAATTAAGAATTAAAAAGCTGTGAATTATGGTTATGGAAAACTGTATAAATGTTACCAATCTTGACAATATAAAAATATCTTCCAGAAATCAGGAAGTGCAAGTTAGTGTAAGAATGCTAATTTCTATATCTTTCAAGATAGTAGGTCAATCCATATTGTCTAAGTTGAATTATATGGTTTTAAAATGACTCTGATCTCTTAATGTTTGTATAATAACTTTTCTTAACCTTTGGGTATTTGTTTTTTTTCCTCCAAATTACTTATTTACTTTTTCCAGCATATTGCGGGGGTACAAATGTTAACTTTTGGGTATTCTTTAAGGAGCTAAAATTGCTTTTTGTGCAGAAATTGTCTCTCCCCTTTCCCCCAATCAGCAGTTTTTTAGTTTGCTTTGTTTTCTTTTTCTTATTAAACATAGGGTGTCTATTATGATAGTGTTGCCTTAAGATTGCCTTAATTTGAATTCTGGCTTTGTCACTTACCTAAGTATGTTATCTCAAATTGCATGAATCCATTTCCTCATCTAAAATTGGGTGTTTTATTTGCTTCACATGATTGTTGTAAGGATTAATACCTGTACAGTTGTCCCTGGGTATCCAGGAGAAATTGGTTCCAGGATGCTGGCTCCAGGACTAAAATGCACAGATGCTCAAGTCCCTGATACAGAATGGCATAGTATTTGCAGATAACCTATGTACATACATCCTCCAGTATACTTGAAATCATTTCTAGGTATTATACCTAATACGGTGTAAATGCTGTGTAAGTAGTTGCTACACTGTATTGTTTAGGGAATAAAGTCAAAAAGAAGTCTGTAAATATTCAGTACAGACTAAACCATCCATTTTTTTTCCTCTGAATATTTTCGAACCAAGGTTGGTTGGATTGAGGGCATGGAACCCACAGATACAGAGGGCCAACTGTACTTACATGACTTAGCCCACTGCCTGAAACTCAAGGCCTGCTCAGAAGAGAACAGCGCTATTATTACTATTTTTAAAATAGAGATTGTTTTTGTATATGTGCATGTCCTTCTTAAATAATATCCTTTATAAATTATCAGTGTATTAGACTTCTGTTTGAGTGTCTGCAAATGACTTAAAGTGCTCTACCATGGAATTTTCCCAGGTTTGAACTTTTTGTCCTGGAAGCTGTGCATCACCATGAGGCTTGTAATTCTCGATAACTATGACTTGGCTAGTGAATGGGCAGCCAAATACATCTGTAATCGCATCATTCAGTTCAAACCCGGACAAGACAGATATTTTACACTGGGTTTACCAACAGGTAATAAACCACTTTTTCCATTTTAGATACTGATATTTGAATTTGTATAATTGTAGGTTTTCTCTTATTCAAATATTTCACTCATACCTTTCTAGCCAAATCGCTGATTGAACATACCAGTATATAAAGCTAGAAAAATACGTATAATCTAATCTCAACGTTTTGTTGCTATTTCATATGTTAAAATTCTGTCTCACCTACCATGCCAAAATGCAATAGGAAATACCCAACTTAAGTGACGGTCATAATATTTTTTGATACCTTTTTCTGGTAGTCCTTGGTTTGTTTTTAGGGGCATTGTTTTTGCTGTTCATATTTTTTAGTAGATTAGCTTTCTTTGTTTTTGGTGTTTGTTTGTGTTTTTGTTTTTTTTTTTTTTTTTATTTAATGGAATTCTCCAGACTTCTTTTTGGTTATTCATAATGTCTTTCCTTGTGCCGTGATTATTTTGTGCTTGCTTATTTCTATATATTGAGTTCTTACAGGACAGAAAAAGTCTTAATAATCTGTTTTATCTGAGTCATGGTAGGCACTTGCTAAATGTTAGTTATTTTAGTAAATGACTATTATAAAGCAGATATTAAAATGAAGTTTCTCTAACCAGTTCATCCTGTACCATATCTTTCATTATTTTTACCTCCAGCCACATAGAGTAAATTAAAAATAATTGACTGTCACAAAATAAAAGAATAGGTGAAGCTAGTATGAACTTTTTCAAAAATAGATTTTCAGGTTGTTAGAAAATTTGATTTTTTAATCTGTTTTAGGGAGTACACCTTTAGGATGTTATAAAAAACTAATAGAATATCACAAGAATGGAAACCTTTCTTTTAAATATGTGAAGACCTTTAACATGGATGAATATGTAGGTAAGCTATATTTGAATTTATTGAATATATTATTTGGAAATATATTACATTTTGAATAAAACAAATATATTTTTGGAATATTAAACTTATGTTATAAATACATTTCTAGGATATAATGTACTGTTTTGTGATGAGATTGGGAGTTTATATAAAAACCTATGTCTTTGTGTGGTGGTAGCACAGTATGCTGGAAGGAATACAGGACTAGAAATCAGAAGATCTTCATTCACCCTGGGCTCTGCCACTTACCAGTCATGTAACTTTGAGCCAATCTATTCTCATTTTTTTTTTCTTGCGTCAGTATCAAAACCAGTGTTGTGGGAATGAATTAAGTAAAGTGTATGTAAAAGTAATTAGTAAGACACTCCTTCAAATCAAAAGCTATTTATATTATAAGCCATGAAGCTTCTATGATTGTTAAGTTGCTTAACTGGAAAGATCTGTGATGCATAGAAATTGTGTCAAAATTAAATAAAGGTATATGTTTTTACTGGCAGCTAAGTGAATACACAAAGAACTTTTTTGTGATTCAATATAATAATACTTTGCACACATGTAGAATGAGTAGGGGACGAACATGGCTAGCATTTCGGTTGAATGGCTAATTATTTTATTTAGAGCTTAACATGCAAGTCCCATTGCCTAAAATTTTGTGTGTTTGAGAAGTGATTAAGTACACATGAACTAGACTTCCTGGGCTCAAATCCCAGCCCTGTCATGAGCTATGGGACCTGGGGAAAGTTCTGTCTTTCAATTTTTCATCTATAAAATGAGAATAATAGTATTTCCATCGGTGTTTTACAAATTAATTTTTAATAGATACATGTAAAGTGATTAATGCTGGACGTATAATCACTTATCCCACATAAAAATACTAAATACTGTTAAATTATGGTATAGAGAGGTTATTTATACTAAATAGCATTTATGGCTTAAATAGAAAAATAAAATTTAGGTTTATTTCTGGAAATTTACATTTTTATTTATTTCATATTTAGGACTGCCGAGAAATCATCCTGAAAGCTACCATTCTTATATGTGGAATAACTTTTTTAAGCATGTTGATATAGATCCTAATAATGCTCATATCCTTGATGGGAATGCTACAGATTTACAAGCAGAATGTGATGCATTTGAAAAGAAAATAAAAGAAGCTGGAGGAATAGATCTTTTTGTTGGAGGTATGTAAAAACATTTTGTCATTAATTGTTAATATTTGAATTAGGTGTTTTAAAATTTAAAAACCTTAATGCATAATGTGAAGAACACCTGTGACTTATGTATATAATATCCGTTTATTCTGCTATTGATTTGTTTTACTTTATTTTCATCAAATCTTAAAATTCATGTTAATTTTAAAATTGATAGTTGGAATTATTTAAATTATGCCTTGAAAGAAAGGTCCCAATTCCTATTAAACTCCTCTAATCATCTCTTTAAAGTTGACAGCTTATCACACCTTTCAAAATGATCTGTTTCTTTTCCTAAATAATAGGTTTATCTTTTAATATTTCGTTAAAACTCCTGCCCAGCCTACTTACGTATTACAGAGTTAAATCTAAAAGTTTGCATGAGGAGCAAGTGGATTTTAGCAGATCACTTAAATTGCTTCAGCTCATAAATAAGTCTTACATCATCACCTGATTTCTTATCAGTATAACTGTATACTGCTATACTGTATATCAGTATATGCTGTATAACTGTCTTAATAAATTCTAAAGGGAATGTTTTAACCAGATTTCACTTGTAATTTATATATGTGTCTATGTGTGTGTATATTTGTGTATGTACATAATCTGTAGTTGAAAATAGGAAGAGTTTTTTCTTTTGGAATGACAACATGGTTTTCTGTTGTCGGTATGAAGCGTCTAAGACAGCTACCTGATTGCTATAAGAATGGAATAACTTCAACTATATAAAACTAGAATTGTTTTTTGCCAGATTCTTTAATCAACTAAATATACTAATCCTCTAAATTAACATTGTTGTCTATATATAATTAGAAAACTGCTCAAAATTACATGAATCTAGATATTCAATAATGCTGTCTTGCAGTTAATTTTTAGTTGAAGTGATTAAGTATGGTTGAAATGTTTGGTTGCCCTTGGGGAAAATTTTGTTTTACAATCAGACATAAATTTGTACCCTGTTTTGACCACTTGCTAGCTGTATGACCTTGGGAAATTTATTGAGGTTCCGTATAATTAAGTCACTTGTAAAACAGGATTAATATTAACCATTCCAAAATTCGTGAGAATTAATCATGCTATAACATGTATAAAATGCCTTGCACAGGGCTTGGTATATAGTTGGTACTCCATAAGTGTTACTTCAATATTCTCTTTCTAAACTGTAAATGCAGAAATAATTGTCCCTTAGTTTTATTGAATTCCCTAGGATTTTTATGGAATTATCTCTAAGGACATCCAGTGAGATTGAAATCTTTGCCTTGAGGAAATTTTTATCCCTACCTATCAGAGCCAATACCATTTACTTTCTTGTGTAGATAGAATGATTATTAACCTGAGCACGGATGTAAGTTGTATTATTGCTTTTCAAAATAGAAAAGTTATCTAGGTTTTAAATAAAATTTGCTAATATCACTTCAGTAATTCCAGAGAACATATGCATACTCCTATTTTATACATACAGCTTAATTTTGAGATAATTACCATTTTTACCTCTCAGTATCAAGGCTTAAAACAATAGATTTTTGAAAATATCTGAGCAGTGCAGTAACCACCCACTTTTTATAAGGTTTGTTATTTAAAATGGCTGCTAGAAAAAATGTCTTCAGTTGTGAACTTTTTTCTGTTAATTTATTGACAAATAAGGATCCATGTGACAAATCTCTTATAGACTCAATGCTAGGAAATAAAATTTACTGGGAGGGAAAACTGATGAAAACTGTTTTGTTCTTTTGCTTGCTTTCCAGAAAGTATCGATAGCTTAATATACATTTAAGGCTGGAACTCTCTTATCCAAAATTGCTGGTAGGACTCTCTTCTTTCCCCGTAGCTTTAATTCACTTATTTCTTTTTAGCTCAATTTATTTTGGGTAATGTTTCCTCAATTATATAAACCACCTCAGTTCTCCCTTTGAACTAGGTGGTGCATAAATTATAATTATGTATGTTTATCACTGACACTACTAAAAAGAAATTGACTTTGTTATTTAACCAATGTGTTTCAAGCTTCTTGTAGTTTGTTTCCCCCCAAACCATCTTCCCCCCCACCCCAAAAAAGCACATTTTAAGAGTTTTCTTGCTTCCTCCCTTAACATTTTTGCTGTAGTCAGGTGATGATCCAGGGCCTGGCATTGTATATGTACCATCTAAAGGACATGGTTACTCCGTGCATAGGGAGAGAAGAGTTAGCTTATTGCATTTGGGATGCCCTGTTATTGGATGTGTACTCATGAAAAGAATCTCATTTGATTCTTTGTATTTGTTGATCTAGGTTTATCATCATTGGATTTTTTTTTTTTTAAGACAAGGCTTGGTATCTGGGTCTTACCACTTACCCTTCTTTTGTTCCAGGGTTTGGTTAATAAAAGCACTAAGAACTTTGCCAAATGGGATCAAAATACCAGCTTTATTAAAGGTAAAGTTGGAATAGAGATTGCAGTTTGGGCTGGAAGCCACAGTGGGGTTTTCCCCTCCTCCTCTCTGAATTGGAAACAGTAGAATAATGAGAAGAGCTCAAGAACATTAATCTACTCTCACTCATCCTGGGAATTAGAGTTCCCTTTCCTTGGTAGAGGGAAAAGAGGAAATACATACACTCAAAAGTTCTCATTCTTCCTCTGATGGCAAAAGTATTAAGAGACAGGGTAAGGTGTATCATGTAATTCCTCACCTATCCCCAGGAATAAGATATACAAGCATGGAATTTTGTAAAAATCTAAATTATTAACTTTAAAAGTATCTTAAGGTATTTTTGTCTTTAAAAAGTAAAAGATGCTAGGGAAAACCTTAACCTTCTCATTTGATTGCATGCTTAGATTCTTTTGGTTTGTTAGTAACTGGCTAGTGGGACCACAGGTAAATTAATTGGAATGATTCTAGGGTATCCCACAAAACTGAAGGAAGACTTGAAACAACCAAGTCTCTGGAAAGACGAGAACCAGAGGATTTCAGATTTCAGAAACAGGGACTCATTAGCCTTCTCCTTTCAGCTCTGTCATCCAGTGCCTTGGTTCTCTGTGCCCTCTTTCTTTTTATATCCCTGGTCAAGATTGAGATCCAGAGAGATTCTGATTAGTTCACCTTGGGGGAAAGTACATATCTCTAGACCACAGCCACTGTAAGAGGGATACAGGGAATTATAATTGTGCTAGCCCCTGTGGTGAGGGGAGCAGAGCAGAAGACAAAGGTGGGGAGGTGAGAGAAACTACTGGGCCGACCAAAGAATAACAACCGTACATTCACTTATTCAGCAGTTAAGTGCCTCCTGTGTGTCATGTGCTGTTCTAAATGGTAAGGATTTAATAGATGAAGTCCTTACTTTCATGAACAGGGAGGGACATGTACGTTCTACCCATAGAACACAGGAAAGACATTTTCTCCAGTGAAGTTTTTATTTAGACTTAAAGGCTAAATAAGAATCAGCCACATTAAAAAAAAACAATGGTTTTATCTTCAAAACCTCAAATTTTGACAGTTAACGCATGGCCGTTCGGTGAATATGTGGACCCTTCTCCATTGTTGACCTCTCCTCATGATTTCAGCTTAGCTGTACCCTTCTCTATGGCCCAAATCACTAGTGAGGTCACTGGTGTGGATCTAAGTAGACTTCCTATTATGTCTGGAAATTTTATTTTCCTGGTTCCATCCTTTCCCCTTTACACATATTTAGAGAAATATAAATATAAATGTTTAGGCATATGTATACCTAAGAGGAGGAACAGAATACTTTTATACATCTATAGAGAAATGCGTCTCTGTAATTTAAACATATTTATAAGCAGATACGTACTTAATAGTAGAAATAATCAATGCATAATTAACCACATATAGATCTGGCTTTATGTTCCCACGTTAAAAATTCCTAGATTGCTGTCCTTTGGTAGTCTGTATCTGCTCCACCAAGTATTCATTTCTTCCTAACATCCTTCAAAACCAGGTTACTTATTGTCGTATTTTATTGCAACTTGCTGGAATTGTATGCTAAGTGTCAGAATAATACACATATCTTATCCTTATATATGCAGAATATAAATGTTAAAGATATTTTAATGTCTCAGAACTTGCGGGTTTATTTTTGATTGAGGTTGCCAGAAATGTGACTTCTTCTAGGGTGTCTGTATATAAAGCTGCTTTTATTTATATCATAGAAAGGGCTTGATTTTTATGAAAAATAACCCCCAAATCCCTCAAAAAAAAGAAGCCAATCCTGGCCAAAATTTTACAAGCAATTCTAGAATGTTAGAGCTGACAGTAGATCTCTTTAAAGCAGTGTTTTTTAAACTCTGGTTGTCACCCATTATTATTAGGTCATGAAATCAATATAGTCACATCCGCATTTGCTTTTTTTGTTAGTGGAATGGAATAGAAAATAGCTTGTATGGCTGCTAGTAAGAGTAAGTATGGTTTCATCAATTCTTATTTTAATTATATTTTACATGTGTGATAATGTGTATATATGTGCCAGCTTGTATCAAATATTTAAAATCAGTTCAAAAAACTGAATACTACTTCTCTAGATATTTTCTTGTCCACACACTTTTATAAGTGAAGGAACTATACTATAGAGAAGTCCATTTGTTGATGGCCCCATCTGGACTAGAACCAAGCAAATTAAAGTGTGGCAAGAGTACAGAAACCACTGAGTTAGGAATCAGAAAACTTTAGATTTGAGTTCTTTCTCAGTATTTACTAAATTGCAACCTTGAACAAGTTGCTCATTTTCCATGAGCATCATAGTTTCTTTCCTTTTGTGTTTTTTTAAAAAAAAAGGTGGGGATGTTGAAGGAATTAGATATGCATAATCTGACCAGCTCATAAGATTGCTAAATATATCTGTCTTGATGATGCATGTGAAAGGGCTTTAAAAACTGAAGTGTTATATAAGGTGATACTTAATTTTACTACTACTATTAGAATCATGCCAACTCATTGCTAAGCATAAAGAAACCACGGAAATATTGAATCAATGCAAAAATATTTTAATGCAGTTTTAGGAATTCAGCTATAAAACAAGGTAAGTGTGTTTACTCTTAAATCCATGTTGAATCTAGAGAACTCTTATTTACTATCCATGAAAAACTTCATTTACTCTGTGTATGTATGTTTCTTTTGAAAGGAATTGGTCCAGATGGTCATGTCGCTTTCAATGAGCCTGGATCCAGTTTGGTATCAAGGACAAGATTAAAGACTCTAGCAATGGATACCATTTTGGCAAATGCTAAATATTTTGATGGAGACTTAGCAAAAGTGCCAACCATGGCTCTAACTGTTGGTGTGGGGACCGTAATGGACGCCAGAGAAGTAAGAATTAAATGTTCTTCGATGCTTTCCCTTTGATGTTGATATATGTTGAGGTATTATGACGCTGAATATGTGTTATTTCAGTTGCATTCTACTTGCAGTATAAATTGTTCACTGGTTTTAGTAACTGCGTTTTGTCACTCTCATTGACAAGTCTTTTGGAGCTGTAAACTAAGAATTAGCCCCCATTTTTGAGGCACTGCTTCACTTGCCTTCCTCCTACAGTTTGAGGTCCTAAAATCTTACCAATCACATGGTTTGTTTTTACTTGAAACAGTCTTGCGACAGGACTGTTGGGACAAAGATGCAATGCTAGTTATACATACACTACTTTCAGAGTCCTCAAGATGATTGTGTGTTAAGTGTTTCTTGACTGTGTAGTATGTTTCGGGCTATGTAGGATAGCTCGGTTGGTTTCCAGGAGAAAAGAAAACCCATCTAGGTCTGGATCTTTTTTACATTTACTGTTAAGTATGTAAGAACTCTGAACAGTAAACTGTGCCTAACTTTTAAGTTTTTGATTGGGCTGTCATTTTCTTCCTTGATAACAGAACAAATTATAGTCCATGATTATAAGTAATTAAATTAATCAAGGCATAGCTTGATTTTAATCAAGATATAGCTTGAAAATGAAAATCCAGTAAAGTCATGATAAAAACGTAATATTGGCAATATCCTGGTCCTCTTTCATTTCTCCCTATTTTAGAAGGTCTAGTTATAAAATACGCAATGTAGCATTTCTATGTGGTATATTTTAGAACTACAGCCTCTTTAATCATTTTTTAACAATTCTGATAATGCAAAAATCAAATTTAAAGATTCATGATATTACAGAAACCGACATGCATAGTTTGAGTTGTAAAATGGGATTGATTTACTGCTGGAAGATAAAGAAGATTCATTCTAACACAACACATGTACACTCACATGTTGAATTATTTCATAGGTGGTTAGGGATTTGGGACCAAGAGCTTGGATTTTCCTGTAGCTTATAAGGATAGTTTCAGTTGTATGTTCAGTTGTATGATCTCCTGTGTTTCAGGAGATCCCCAGTCCTTAAATCAGTTTTTGTTCTGAGTCGGACGGCATATGTTCAGTGAAACGACTTTCAGGCTTCTCTAGATTACTTTTCAAATATCTGTTGTAGAGTCTTTTTGCTTTTCTGAAGTAGTATTTCTTGCTTGTGTGGACAAGAGCAGTTTGCTGCAATCATTCCAGATTATATAAATTGTTAGAAGACCTGTAATTCTGCTTTTGCAAGGTAGCCCTTTTGTTTGTTGTTCTTCATTCTCCCAGATTATCTTTTACATATCATTAACTCCGTTATGTATGGGTATCATAGTGTATCCACTAACACCCACAACAAGATGCTGCTTTGCTTTGCTAAACAAGAAGGAGCACTTTGGTCTTGCTTGTTACCTAATAAAGTTAGAAATAAATAACTTGAACTGCGAAAAAATGTGGAGCTGTGTATTTCTTTTCCTCTGAAAAATACTGGTTTTAATACCCTGTTTAAAAAACAATAGGGCTTCTTACTCATTTGGAACATGTTTTAACATACATTAACAAGCGCTCTTCATGATTTTCTAGGTAATGATCCTCATAACAGGGGCACACAAGGCATTTGCCCTGTACAAAGCCATCGAAGAAGGCATCAACCACATGTGGACTGTCTCGGCTTTCCAGCAGCATCCCTGGACTATCTTCGTGTGTGATGAAGATGCTACTTTAGAATTGAGAGTTAAAACTGTGAAATACTTTAAAGGTGAGCATGGAATTTCAAAACCAGACTGTGAGGTATTCTGTTGCAGGTGACAGTTAAAACCTTAATGTGAAGTGGAGTTACATCCCACACTGTGGCCTATTAACCACAGGCACGGGGGACAACAGTCAGTTCTTTCAAGGAGTAAAAACTGACCACAGATAACAGTAGCTTGCAGGTAGTTTCCTGTTTTGTTTTGTTTTTCATGAAGAGAATCTCTGTAATCTGTATTTTCAGTAAACACAATTTTTCTGCATCTCACATTCAGAAATATAGCATATAATCTTAAATTCCTAAGTTTAAAGGAAACTGGTAATTTGTAGTACATGTAAATATGTGAGTGTGGCAAAAATCTTGACAGTGTTATACAAATGATTGAAGATTGGCAGGCACTGAAAATATTTTAAAAACAATTTGATCATGCTGTGTATATGGTTTTGTCTTGTATTTGCACTTATGTTTTGTATTTTTTACTAAATATTCCTCAAAAGCATTTTTAGTGGACAGTTAAGTAGATGTAATTTATTTAAACATTTCATTAACAGATTTCCAGTCATTCATATTTTTATCAATTAAGTTACTAGTTTTTTACCAAGTCACAAATATATTAAACTGAAATTGTTAGCTTCTTTGTAATTTGAGAGAAATAGTGATGAGTTAGTTGAGAATAACAGAGCTCTTGGTTGGGGTTTTGCCTATATATTTCAACACAGTCCTTCAGATTTCATGCCAAAATAGATTCCTTAAAAAGAATTCTCATTATCCAGAAATTTTAATGCCAGTTTTGAGGAGATTAATTTAACATGACTATTTTCTAATACTAGTAATCCCCAGGTAAACCCTTATACTAGTCTGATTTTTGTCACAATCTGGTTTTATAAGACTTTTACATTTTAGTGAATAATATATTTAATAATAGCCAATACTCTATGACCAGGCACTATTCTAAATGCATTGCACTTAATGATTTACTTAATTCTCACAGCAGTGTTATGAAGTGGGTACTCTTATGTTCCCATTTTTAAATAAATTACCAGGCTTATGATGGAGGTGTTAAACCACCTACCCAGTCATTCAGCTCTTCTGTGGACAGGGCTTGGCAGTTGTGTCCACTCTGTTACACTGCCTCCCAGAAGAATGCTGTCATCTAAATCAAAACTGTATTTCCATTTTTTCTCATATCATTGCTTCAATGAAAGGTATAGACATATGTTAATTTAAGTTAGAAGGGAGGTAAATGTTTTAATTCATCTATCCAAATTCTAAGCTCTTCTGAAAAATTTTGAAGCATAGACTGCTCATGAGAATATTGTTGCATTGCCTAAAGAGGGTGTGTATTTTCCACTTTGGAACTGTGTTTCTAAAGAGGTTGCAGGATATCAGCCTGTCAGGATACCTCCTTCAATATGAAGAAAAAATGGAATTGGGATATTGTCCCTTAAAAGCCTTTCCAGCAAGGAGCATCTACTTTTAATAACAAGTACCCTCTCTCTCCAACCCAATAATCCCATTTTCTGCAAAAAGCTGCATTGAGTGCTGCTCCCTCAGCCTTCTTAATAACCTGGAAGACTTAATTGGTTTCTTTAACCTTCAAAATATAAAATATTTTTTTCATTAATTGGGCCAAAGATAATCTTTTTAGAACTTTTTAAGAAATGCAGTACTTATGCACTAACATATGAATAACTGGAAGATATTTCCCAAGAAGCTTTAATAGGTAAGAACAATCTGCAAGTATACACACAATGATTACATCAAATTTAAAACCTACTTAAATTTAAAAACCTGTTTCTACTCTAAATTATTTAGTACAGGTTATCTTCTGTATTTTTAGTAAACTTCCCTCAATGTGAAATGGTTAAGCTTATAATCTACCTTGTCATAAATACACATAGCAAAATAATGGAATATGATTTGCCAGATGAATGGATAGGATAATGTATTGGAGTGTAAGTTCTAAGCCCCTCACTGGAGTCTAGTTAGAGGGAACTGCCTGATCAAGATCAACAGACTTTTAGATGTAATTAAAATGTATCAACTGACTTAGTATTCAAATTTACCTTGTCATACTGAAGCTCCCTAAAGAACTTACTTCTGGTTACTCCCAAAGTATTTGGACACATTCTACATCTGCACTGTTCCATAAATAATTGTAAATTGATATTTTCTAGGTAGTTAAAACTAGACATTCTAAAACATTTCTATTTGCACTATTTCAGTAAACCTATTTTGTATCAGATGGGAACCAAATAGACTTACTGTATCTTATTTAAAAAAAAACTTTTCTAAAGTAAATGAGTTCAAATTAACAAAAACAACTAGAACTGTGCTTTTTTTCTTTAAGGTTTAATGCATGTGTACAATAAACTTGTGGATCCACTATACAGTATGAAGGAAGGAAATTGAAGGAGATTGGAGCAAAATTCTTCTTGAACAGAGCACTTTTTTTTTATAAGTAGCAGATGAATTTTCAACTATGCAATGATAAAACATGGGGAATTTTGAAGACTGTCATTTTTGAAGTCCACTATGTTTTGAAGTCCACTATGTTAAACATTCCATATTTAGAATGTATATCACACTAGAGTTCAGAAGTAGTTTGCTCTCAAAATTGATTGGCTATTATAAAATACAGAAAGCCACAGAGCCACCTAGAAAACAGCATAGAAATGAAATGTCTGCCATTCAGAAATTTAAAGTCATGTTTAAAGGTAGAGTCTGCATATCAGGTGCCATTGTGGCTTGACTCTAGTGGCATACCTAGATTTTCATATGTGAATGACAAGATGACACTCCAAACCTTTCAGGTATCAAAACTATCATTGCAAACCTTTACTTTTGGAATGCTGCCTTTGTTTTCTGTGAATTACACACATGCTCTCTGCACGTGGTTGCCTTAGTCATCTTCCTACAGTAACATCTAGACATTAAGAGTTATGCCATATATTGTTGGTAAAGGAAATTTGAAGAGATGACAGTGCCTAAGAGTACAGTTTACATCCTTTTAGAAAGTATGTGTAAGTGCATGTTTTTTGTGCACCTTCTATAGCACTTTTTTACAAATATGCTCTTATTTTTGTTTAATGACTTGGGTTCCTGCCCTTAATATAAGTTTCTTGGCAATTATGAGCTTTATATCTAGGAACACACTTGAGATTGTTTTGGAGAATATCTTATTGTTAAACTTCATAAATGATTAGCTTTATTCCTTATATATAAAATGTCTGAAAAGAAAATATGAAACATATAAAAGGAATTACTGTAAACTATTGTAGATTGACATAATTTGCCTAATCAGATCACAAAAGTATATTGTTTTCTATCTTCAACTCAAATAAAGACTTTAATAAGCAAATAAGTTATCTAAATTTTATTTCCAGAGGTGAAATTGAAGAATACATGTATTTGATTCCAACAATTACAGTAGCTATGAACCTGCATATATTTTTGGTTTGCTGCCATTACTCAGTTAAGAGACTTAAAAGACAATGTCCCTGTCTATAGTTTCTCTGCCTGCTTCATGGAAAGTAAAAATGTTCCTTTGCCTTTGTTTGTTCTGCATTTTATAAGCCCATCTAGTAGAAGCTGCCTTACTTATGTATCTGTATTGTCTATGTGACTAAAATATAGTTTCTTCAGATTTAAGTAGCAAATTTAAAATAAAAGCAAAACTGGTAATAGGGTCTTATGGTGAAACGGGGTAAAATATGCTTTAATTCCAGATGATACTTTAATAGCCTTATAAATGGTTTTTGAATAACTAGCGAAATCAGCATTTTCTACTCAGATTATCTGACGATAATTGTTTACTACAAACTGCCCTGCCTTAGATCATATGGTATCATAATGAAAAAGCTAAAGGTACCTGTTTTGGTGCATGGTTCGCCAGTTATTTCTGTGCTTTCAACGTCTAGAAGACGACCTCCCCCTCTCCATTTTACTGCCCTTGATATTAGGAGGCTACTTGAAGTCCATGTACTCAAGCTTCTCGGCAAACTGCTCTTTGGCCCCTGGAGTAGCTCCCTAACTCCTGAGCTAAGCTGCTGTTAAGCAGAGAACCTAGAAGCCTGTGGAAGACATTTCATCAGAGGTGTGAGAGTTGGCCTTTGAAGAAGCAACCCATCCATTGTTGGAACCCTGCTCTGCCAGGCGTGACCTTGGGCAGCACAGCAGTCCCAGCTTTCAGTTCTCACACTGAAGGAGGGACACGCACAGGGCTCAGCACAGAGGCTGTCACGGTTAAACTCAATAAATAGTGACTATCTTAATACTCATCATTTTAACGTTTGCCAAAATCTTAGTGGTGATACTAGGTTCTCTGGGGAATACGCTTAGAAAGCACAAAACTCTGAATCACTAAAATCACCTTGGGAAAGTAGTCAAGGGACAGAAGTTAAGCTTATGCTAAATAACTTGGAAAATGGCTTTCTTCACTATCATTAGTACAAGTAAAACTATTTCCTAAAGAATCATGTGTTAAAGGTTAAAATTTGGCTTGAAAAAAAAATGCTAATATTGCTAAAATACTCAATAGCAGACACGCAGTACATAGTATATGTCAGGTACCAACTTATAACTTTCCCTTAGCAATAATGATAGAACATTTTGCTTTAGAAATTGTCTAGCTTCAAAAACACTGTCATTTTCCAAAATACTACTGTCCCGGTGTTTCAGATTTCATCTGTTCTATATCAGAGCAAGAAGGGAGAGGGAACGTATATGAACTGATTGATTTATGTAACTAGGACTGAGTCCCAGGCTACTTAACTACTACATAATTGAAAGTAAATGCCCGCATTATCTCATAACGTAATAACCTAAGTATAAAATTCATCGTTGACAGTCTTCATCCCTAGAATACATTTTCCTCATTCAGTTCATTCAAGTTAGCAGACAGATATTACTATCAATGGCTAAATTAGTTATTTTGCTGTAGTATAGTCTGCACTCTAAACATGGGACTTAGGAGCTTTAAAATAGTTGTTTACTGGCTGTCTCAAGTACGTTACTGAACTAAAGTTCAGTCTCTTTAACAATAAAATCTAGGCAATTGTCATTAGTAACAGCTGCTGCTAATACAGACACCTGCCATTTTACACAAATGCATTTCAAATGTCAGAAATAAGACAGCTTATTATGTAAACCACCTAGTTTCAGTCTAACACCTGACAAAATTTACAAAGTTTTATCAAAAACTAGAGCAGAGGTCTACATAGTATGTTATTTAAGTTTATTGTTTAATGATTCATAAGTATCAGATAAATTGACCCAGCTAACAAATCTGTCACTTACGGTGATACTGAAAATCCTTTAACTTAAACTAGATGGCATCTTAAGTATGGGGCCTTTTAGGGGCAGTAAGGATAAAAAAAAACATATGCCCCAAAATAAAAATTCAGTAAGTCCTTAACAATGTTAACAGGTTCGTGGAAGCTGTTGACTCTGAAAGCACATATAAGGAAACCAGTTTTTTCCTCCTCAATTGTACAATAAAACCACTTTGAAGGAAACCACCTAGTTCAGGGACCTGATGTATATCATTTCACTTAAAAGTCACAGTTTCCAAGAACCTATCGGTGTCATTAAGTGAGGACTTAACTATAGTTACAGCTCACTGAGTGCTTACCGTGTCATGTACTCTTATGAAAATTTTAAGATATATTATTTAATCTTCACAGCAACCTATGGAAGCAGTAGTAGTATAATCTCAGTTTTACTTAAAAAGAGGAAACAAAGGGTTAAGTAATTTGGTCAAGTACACCTTACTAGTGAGTGGCTGGCACAGAAATTTAAAACTAGGTAATATGGCTTAATCCAAACTCTTACCCACCCACTTCTATGCCCATTCAAAGAAAAGACAGATTATTAAAACCTGAAAACCCTGAAAGTAACAAGCAAATTTTATAATTTTCATTCGAGTGTCAGCATATAATAAGTTGCTATAAAAAAGATAGTTTTTAATTTATGAAAATTCTTTATATTTTCCCAACAATTATTTATTTATCAGATTGTGTTTTTAGAACTTTTATAAAAGCTTCTTTTGGAACTTCAATGTTGCCAATTTTCCTCAGTCTTTTTTTTCCTTCTGCTTGTCTCTTCAAAAGTTTCATTTTTCGAGTAATATCACCACCATACTGAAAAATATTAAAAAATGGAAGTGTAAACCACTCCAAAGAAAAACAATTACAGCATACAATTACATAGGGCATCAATACAATCATGGCCTTACAAAATTATTATCCATCAAGTAGACATCTGCAAAGTTATCACTCTAATGTTCCTAGCAGATCCTGATTTTACTACCGTCTTCAAAGAATGATAAGGCCTTTATTTTGGGGGGGATGGAGATGATGATTCTCAAGGAAACCCAGTACTACAATATACATGTCAAGGAAGAATTATCACACTCATTACAATGATTCCAGGCTTGGAATTTTGGATTATATAACTACAGTCTCTTAATCACATTAAGCATATATGTGCCAGAAACTATTTCTAAGCATTTTAGAAAAATACTTTATCATCAATTCTCACAATAACTGAGTTAAGAATAATTTCTTAACAGCTGAGACAGCAAACTTTGGCAAAGCAATGTAGGAGAGGTATATTTCCACCTCTTCTCATTGTAAGAGATAGCCATTGTCTCCAAAATCTTCCATTATATTAATATATTTAGATCAACAAAACATGTTGCCCAGACCATAGAAATATTTGTTATAAAATCCTTCCTTAAGTAGTATTACACAAGAAACAAAAACCAATACTCCCTTTGATTTTAAACCTATAAAGCAGTTACATTATAAAGTAGAATAAGTATAGCTAGATACGTACACATTTTGCCAAAACATTTTTCCTATAGGGTTTCACACTGTAAAAGAGGAAATTTTGTTTAAGTATATAATTGCATTATACTGTTTAAAAGCACTTTATTTCCCCAATCTCCCCTTTACTAAAAGATTTTAATGATAATGTCATTACCTATGTAAAACTGCCATAAGCAATTAATTAGATAGCTCAACTGCTCTTAAATTTATTTTCACATACTTGGCATAAAAGGGCATATAAATTCAACATGGTTCTCAAACATTTTATTAAGGGTCCAGGCTTGTGGTAGTCAGGTTTGATTAGGCCAAATTTAAGCATGCTGTGACCCTGATTGTAAGAATTACACAATGTCATTTCTGCTACAGTGGTACACTACAGTAGCAGTATACTGCTACCACTACTACTTCAAAAAATATTAAAAATGGTTATCACCTCATTACTGCCTCCACTAAATGTAGTGGGAGTGGCTAGGAAGATAAGGAATATGTTACCAGACTTACGCTTTTTTAAAAATAAAACCTATCTCAAGGTAAAACTACTTTTAATACATTCATCCCAGCAATTATAAACTAATCTATTTCTATAATGTTTCTGAGAAAAGGTCACTCTACTTTTGAAAACAACTCCATTTTTATGTATTCTTTTTTTTTTTCCTTAAAGGTATTCTCTACCTCAACAAACTTATGTGAATGACTATTTGCTATTTTAAATTGGATTTTGCAGGATGTTCCTTGGTTATCAACTCCATTCTCCCTAACCTCTGGGTATTTATGAAACACAAAATCACTAACTGTAGCAAAATAGTGTTAGGAAATGAAATTCACTGCAAATAATGTGCAGAAAATTTATCTCAAATCTATAAAAATGATGGCAGTATTTCACCACTACCAACACATCAGGTTTGGGTTACAGTAGAATTTAATAGCAATTTCTAACTTTTTATAATTGAGGCAATATTTCTGATTTCCCAGATGTCTTACGACCATTAAGGAAAGGAAATGGGAAGCACTGCAAGATACTTCCTGGACTGTTATGAGTACAGCAACCTCAGTGTTCTGATTTATAAATTACGTTTCACAGAGACTAGTTCCTACAGAAATTAGCCCATCTTCAATGTCTTCTATACCCCATATGAGGTCCCTAATCTAGAAATGCAAAGCCTAATATGATATAAGCATTCCCCTGTGATTTACAACTTCACTAAATCCTGCGAAGCAGGGAAGTGATATTAAATGCTTCAGGTAAAAAAAATCATAATTTTGTCTTTTGGAAGACAAAACCTTTTAATTTCAGTTTTTATTAGCTTACAAGCTACCTGAAGTGAAGGGGTAAAACCATGAAGAAATTCCTTACCCGGAAATTCAATACAGTCATTCATTAAAATGGGTGGAAAATAAAAGCAATTCGTTAAGCCCATCTACTATCAACTGTAAATAACATTACCCAATTACTTTGAATTACTTATATGTTACACCATCATCACTTAAATCAGTGAAAGTGAGAGTCTGCTTTATCATACTATTTCTAAAAATAATAAAGCTTTTATTATAATAAAATTGTATAATAATAAAGGCCAATGTTGAGTTAAAATTTTCAGTACTCTATGACTTTCTAGATATATCATTTCTGAAACCAGCAAGGGAACAAAAATGAATTTCAACTCACGTTTCTCTCGCAATGATTTTGTTTCCAATAGCAGCTTGAATTGCTATCTCAAACAGCTGTCTAGGAAGAGAATCCTTTAGCCGCTCACATATGCTTTTGCCGACCAAGTGTGCTTTGTCTCTGAGACAGAGAAAATATAACCGTTTACATATCCTAAATAAGAATATTTAAAGTATCTTCTAGTCCATATGTGTAATCAATATAAAGGTAGTTTCTTAAGGAGTTTCAAATGGATCTTATTTATCATAAATATCTCTTATTCTCTGAGTCATGAATGTCTTTTCAGATTTAAAAAAAAATGATTACAGAAAATTTGGAAACAGAGAATAAAAATCATTCTTGATTCCCTTTCCTCACCCATTGAAAAACAGTTAACAAACATTTTAGAATGTCTAAACATATATCCTTCTAGTAATTTTATACACATTTAATTTGTTTTGTTAGATCATAGTTTGTATATGATATATTCTACTTTATTTAATACACATTTTTTCTATCACTACATATGACTCCACATAGTTTTAATGACTTAAAATATAACAGTAATATGGGTGATCAATAATTTATTTGAACCAATCTGCTATTTCTTGAACACGTAGAGTATTTCATTTTTATAATTTTTATAAATATGAGAAAACTTTTTGTTACCAATTCTAAATCCATAATTATAAAATTTAAAAAATATTTACTTTGTTTTATACAATAAGAAAACATTTCTATAATACTACTGTTTTGGTTATCAAAATTCTATACTTCCACTTCTACTTTTAGCAGTATAGAAAGGGAAATGTGGAAAAAGAAAAACTAGTAGAGTGAAATCTATCTTCATTACCTTTGAAAGTCTTTAAAATGTAGCTGTTCAAACAAAAATGTGTAACCAAGAAATAAAGAAAAACATATTAAAAGCAATTATTTTCATATTCCATGATTAATTTCTATTCAACTTACTTGTGTACGACAGTTACTAATTCCTCTACAATGTTTCCATTCAGTAGAACATCCATTTTTACAAGTTCTGCAGTCTGGTAGCCTGCATCTTCATAATCAAAACTAATGAGAAAAACAGTCCAAGTAGTAAACATTATACTTCTCAAATTACATTTTTCTCTCTTTACAAGATGCCTGTTGTCTGCCCCCTCTAAGATACCCTTCAAAAGAAATCTAACTGTCCACCAAAATATTACATACACAGTTTCATCTGAGTGGATCTAAACATCCTCTTCTTTTTATGTTTATGAAATAAGGGGCAAAAACAACGGGATTGTTATCTAGTGGGGGAAGGAAAGCCAGACTAGGAAACAGATCTTAAAGACAAATGCCACCTCCTTCCCAGTGTTCCCAGCAGCTGGACTTTAGGCAATGCCGTGTATCAATGGGTCATTCTCAGATTAGTGGGTTGGGTTTCTGTTTAGTTTTCTATTACAGTGACAACCCTATGTAAAGATAAATGCTATGGCACTGATAAACAGCCAGTATGAATAAATGAGACTTTTTTTTTTCTTACATGGCTCTTCAGCTTGAACCTTCACAGGGCTTTGTGAGGAGTAAATGATTTAATACATGTAAGCCACTTAGAGCAGTGCCTAGTTCTTACGTGTTTAGAACAGAGCCTGTCTTAGCAAATATGAACACTTCACTTCAGCTATTCCTTTTAACAGCATGGCCAAAGCTTACAGTGTGAATAAAAACAGACATGTTTAAATGTTTAAGTCTAACAAGAAAGAAAATTTCTGTAATGCTTACAAGTCTTCCTTATTATTGATAAGAACATGTATATTCCTATTGTCTTAATTTTAAAACAACTGGTGCCTGGAATTATAAATGTTTGATTTCTAAAGATTTTCAGCAGGCAGGTCCTAACTTGCAAATAATACACTCTTTTACCAGATTATTGCTTGAAGTGTTGCTTGCTAAAATCCTTTCTTTCTTCAGCAAACATCATTTATTAAACATTTATTGTATAAACGACACCACTGTAAGTACTATGCAGAACACAAAGAGAGAGAAAGACATGGTCCCTAACTTTTAAGTTGTTTATAGCTCCAAATTTTGTTATGTTCAGTATTAAAAAATCTTAAGAATTTATTTTTTGAAAACAAACCATAATACAAATAGTATTTGTTTCCAAGCCAGCCCAATGGAAACCTAGCCTCTATTCACAACACAGGTATTCTAGTGTTCCTTAGAATGTAGTGAACACATTTGGAACTCTAAAAAAACCACTGGTGTTGTGGACTGAGGACAAACTACAGTCCTTGTATAAAAAAGGAATCCCTACTCTGACCCAGCTGCAGTAGATTCTTGGCACTGGGTATAAGATAAGTTTTTTCTGATCTTAATCCATGGGAGGTTTACAGCCTTAGCTAGAAGGCCATGGACCATGATGAGTCTCTTTCTGGTAAGTGTCAAACTGACTATACATGTAAAACAACCAACTTAAAAACACAAGAATTATCTTAATTTTGGAAGCTGGAATATTTTATTTTTATATAGTTCAAAACCATATTCTCTCATGTAATATGAAATGTATTTAAGTTTCCAAGATGAAAGATTTTTTAAGACTACTTGTAACTCAGAAAGTGGTACCCAAATGGAAACTAAAATTGACTTTTGCTAAAAATATTTATAAACATTAAGCCTAGTAATCATCCTTTTAACTATAGTAATTTTAACATGACATCACAATTCATTTTACTTTAAGTTCCACTGCCACTTATTTGCTCAAGGTCTTGTCTGAATGAAGACAGAGAAGAAAAACAATTGGGTGACAAAGTAGAAAAAAATTTCTCAATACAAACAAACATAAAGAAGATTCCTTGGTATGAAGAGTTATCGTACATGCTGACTCTTCATTGAAAAGCTGATTAAATAATGTTAAACTTCCAGGTCACTACAGCATGTTCATTAAAACACTGAAATTTCTCTGAATGTTATTTTACTGTTTGTACTGTTGTAGAAGTTTTACAGATATGAATGCTCATTTTCCCCCTGTCCTTCCCCAGTATGTTTCATATTTCTTTATATTCTGCTATATACTATTTTGTAATATAAGATTTTAGGATACCAAGGGCATCTAGAATTATTTGCTCCAACAAAAGATTCCCAGAATGCTATGCACTGAGTTCCTTATTTGTTGTTTAATATTAACTCTCACTTCTATCTGGCTGTTCTCTATATAACCCTATGTAATGCATAATGGTTTTCATAGCAGGGACCACCTAATTCCTGGAAAGACCAAGTTATTAAAATGCTCAAAAATGTAAGGGTGCACCTAGCATTTTTTTTATAGACTGATTACATACTCCTATTTTTCAAATGTAAACAGATGTTCCTAAAATCACACAACATACATTTTGAAAGTGCCACTGAGGTTATAGTAGCTTTTTGAAATTATGTATGATTCTGAATCAACAGACAGAAGGAATACAACTCTCAAGAGGGCACTACGTTTTCATAAAAAGAAGAGTAATAGTTTGATGATGAAACCTTTTCTCCTATGAGCAAATTATAAATACTCTGTGACATAGTCTAAGCCTTTTTAACCTTAGAGCAGGCATCCTCAAACTACAGCCCGCCGGCCACATGTGGGCCACCTAGCACATTTATCCAGCCCTCCGGGTGTTGTTGCCACTGCTGCCCGTCCTGCTTAGCAGCCGACTTGTCCCAGGCCCACAGTGCGCACTCCCCAACGGTCTGAGGGACAGTGAACTGGCCCCGTTTAAAAAGTTTGAGGACCCCTGCCTTAAAGTATGATTCTCAACCACCTTGATGAGAGGGAAATATTAGTATACTCTGGTGGGTCAATTATTTCAAACAAGTTGTCCTGGCAGCTGAGGTTCCCATTAGTTCTTTACCTAGCATATCCAGAAGATAGGGACTTCAAAGAATCATAAAAATCTACCACAATTTCATTCAAAGGGAAGAGATATTTAAGCATAACCCTATTTTCATCAATAAACATCATATTCTTCTGAACTGCTCTTCGAGCCTAAAAAGGGAAAGAAAAATAAATCAGTTTAATGATAACCTACTCAAATATTGATTTACACTAATACAGAGAGATGTAAGTTACTGAGTTATAAATCCTAATCATAAAGAGTAGGCAAAATGAAGGATTACTGTGTTTCTTAATAGTCTAGTAAAAACTTGTGAGCAATATTTATAGGGAGAACCATTTTGTATTTCAATTACATATACTTGCCACTAAAGCTTTTAGTTCGTCTTAATATAAGTTTTATCTTTCTAAATCACACAGTGTTTCATGTAACAGTAAATCAAATATAACTGCATATAAAGTCAAAGTCCTAATTTGTTTTACAAAGAAATTTGATTCAAAGAAATTAAGTGACTAAACAAAATTATAGTCTAGTTTGTGATAACAGAATTAAAACTGAAGTCACCATTTGACACACTTCCTAATATGTGTGACCGTATTTCACACAGGCATTTTCTGAGGAATATTTCTGAGGAATATTCTGAGGAATATTTCATCACATTTGTGAATTAAATCATTTATTACAATGTAGCAAGAACTAAAGCAAAGTGGGGCTTGGGTCCCTGAAGTGTAATTATCTTTCAACCTATATTCAATTTCAAGTATTCAAAATGCTAAAAGAAATTATACTTTTTGCTACTTTGGGATAAATAAGCATCAAATTTTCTTTCTTTTGTGCTATAATACCAATTCAGTAAATTAACCCAGATCAAAAATACTGATTATGTTTTTCTTATTTAAAATCAAAATAGTTGAAAAAGTGTATCTATATACATGTATATAGAAAGAAAGTATGAAAATCTTTTATTAAATTCAATATGCTCAGCAGAGAGAAATCTTTCAAAACCTGAGTTGAGAACCACCGTTTCAGAGGACTAAAACCATGTGTGTGTTAAACTGTATTACATTTATACCTGGCAAAGCATCATTATTTTTCCAGTGTATTCATCTGGCGTGATAATAGTGCCCAAAACAACTGGCTCCAAATATTCTGTTACTTTTGATTTATCAGGGAATTGTGCGGGATTGATGATTGTAATTTCTTTTTCCCTATATTCCTAAAAATTAGAAAAATCAACAATAGTTAAAAAGAAATCTTTGCTTTATATTTTAAAAATTGTCCAGTTATAATCATTTACATTAATAATAACAATTATTAATAAAAATTCCAATCACTGACATTTATTAAACACATTTCATGGACCACTTAGAAGAAGAATGACATTTTAACCTGACCCTTATAAGGTATAATTAGTTTACTAAGTAAATTTTGTTGGGAAGTATTTACCTATGTCAAAGTTAATATTTGTTCAAAATGAATAGCCTTCCAACTAGATGAAATCTGATATTGTCTCTATCAACATGAAATCCAAAATTTCCCACAACCACAGGAATCAATGCTTCACTTTTTACAGGATAAATTGCTTACAAAAATTATAAATGTGCCAGATTTCCAACAGTATTTTTATCAGTAACTCTACTTTTTGCTATCAGTAATAGACTAGTTTTGATAATTTGGAGATTTTTATCAGATTAGGAAAAATATTCCATAAGTTACTTTTCAAAAAGGTTCTCCATCACTAGCCTAAAGGTAATTCAATTTTTATTAATACTAATCAATAAATAATTAGCTTTAATAGCTACTCAGCTACTGGTATAGTAAAAAATTCCTCCTGCATTCCCATATACACGTTTAGTTTTCCCTTTTATGCTGGTGCAAAACAATATATTATAGTACCTTTATCAATTTTGCTGATGAAAGAACAGCCTTATATGGAACAGTAGGTGTTGTCAAAATAACAGATGCATTATATTCTTGCTCTAGTCGCTGGTTGAAAACTTCCATATGCAAAAGTCCAAGAAATCCCAACCTCAGGGAGGAAAAAGACAAAATGTTTATGCCCCGTGGGCTCTATTTTCTTTGATGAATATATCGTTACTTTGTAGGGGAGGAGTGGAGTTAAGTCATTCAAGCAATTCACATCACAATTAAATGCTAACCTAATTTCATTAAAGATTCAAATCTTCCGTTGGGAACCTATTTTAAATCGGTATAAAACCCATGGAATGTGAATTCACAGTGTGACACAGACAGACATAAATTGTCTTCAGTTCGCTTTACACAAGTAAGAACTACCTTCAGAAATGTTTGAGAGCAAAGCACCATTTAGACTTCACTTTCTATAGAAAATGTGACTTTATCGTGTAGGTGAGTCTTACCTCCAGCCTGCACCAAGGGCAAGGCTACTGTCCCGATGGACTGTCACACTGGAGTCATTCAAGGTCAGTTTCTCTATGGCACTCTTCAGGTTGTTGTATTCAGACTGGTCTATAGGGTACATTCCTGAGGACACAATGGTTTCTAATTGTCACATGTGATAAGCTGCCTACAAACCAAACCTAACAGGCAGTATCGCCAAATTCAAAATTAATCATTTAGCTTTCAAATTACTTTCCTGTATTTTACTGACCAAAACATTGGCTTGCTGAAAATCTGAAAACCCTATTAGTAGATAAAAATAGGAGTAGAAATGAAACTACACTGAACTCTCAATTCTTCAGGGTAGATTATTTATCAAAACCAAAGACAAATTTTGCTTTTTTCAATTCACTGAACAAAATATAGGAATTACTACTGATTCATCAAATTCTCTTTCATCTGACACCTCTTTAGTCCACACCTCTCAAGTCCTCCAAAATCCAAATGACTGACTTTGCCTAAAGGTAGGGTCAACAACGTTCATGATTCCCAATGAAAGCGACTACAGGGAGAAAGCCAAGGGCCAGATACCCGGCAGAGTGACCTGATGACCTTCAATCAGGTCTTCCCTTTTCAAATGTAACACCACACAGCAGTAAAAGGATCTGAAGTAACACATACTTGAGGTAATACTATTCTCTGTCATGTCTACACTAGTACAACATTATAGAGTAAGCAGAGGGCACTCAGTAAAAGTCTATTGATAGTAATAAAAACATCCTAATTAGAAAAATGTTTCAAATATAATAATGGACTAACTCCCTAGAGAAACAAGAAGGAAATTTATAATACTGTGTTCTTCTATATATCAGAGCTTGTTCCTGAAGAGCTTATTTCTTAAGGAGTCCTAAATAATCTCCACATAAAATTCGTCATACATAAGAAATTATCAACCGATATATAAATAGCACACACAAAGAACAATTAAAGGAAACAGAATATCCTGGCATTAGCAGATACTTAAAATAACCAGAATATGCACTTATCTTCTAGTAATTTTTCTTTCAACATAGAGATAGACTTTATTTTAAAAATATTTTGGCCCTTAACTTTTGAATTTGTGAGCTCCTCACCTGCAAATACCATTGGTTTCGCTGATTTAAACCCAGGCAAGGGCTCCACTGGTTGTTTATGTAAATATAATGTATCTCCTATTTGTGCTTCAGTGACATCTTTCATCCCAGCAATCAGATAGCCCACCTGTCCTGCATATCTAAATAAAATTATCATATGCAAATATTTACTGCTTTAAGGTTTCAAGTGCATACTCACAATTAGTTCTACTTTTCCAGGGAACTATCACACACTTTCCAAATAAAACCTCATCAAACTGAAAACAAGTGTGACATATCATTTCTCAAACCCTAAACCTTATTAGCAAAAGAACAAACACACCATGCCTTACAATCCAATACCCAAGGACCTCTGCACCACAGCCGCACAGTAATAAAAGCCTTCTTCATGCCTCTGCCCATCTTTGCAAATTAAACAACACTTTCTAAATATATTGTAAATACAGTGCAACTGATAAGGGCAGAAGAACAGTACACTACTTATAATGTCTATTGTATTAACATTAATGAATTGTGTTTAAAAATGTTCAACAAAGGAAAAAAAGGTAAATTTTTAACCAAGCAGAAAAATATGAACTCAACAAACCTGACATTTGATATTCCCTCTTATAGAAAAGGAACAAATTCCAAGATTTCAGAATTTAAGCTTAAAGAAAAAATTCCCAAACAGTAACAAACTATTTAAACTTAGGATGAGGCATAAGGACCTAAAATAAAGATGTGAGAATGTTCGATATGTATGGCAGACTACAAACAGATTTTAAAGTATTTCAGTAAAATTAAAAACAGACTTTCTGCCTCAAATAAAAAATGTAATGAACATATGCTATTTTTAAACATACAACACTAGACCCTCAAATGTGATCTATGTAGTTGTCTGGCTCAATACTTTATATACACAGATGAGGAAACAGGACCTTAGAAAGCACAAACTATGTGGCCATGGTCATGTTTCCTCATTCATTACCTGATATGGACGAGGCACTCAATAAGTGGTCATTTTATAAGTGAACTCAGATCTGTTTTTCTAATGCGTACTATGCCTTGCACCTTGCTAGCCCCACTCCCCAAGAATTTTAATCAAGGTTTTACCTTTAATTCCACGCTAAAGAATTATCAAGGTTTCTATACTACACCTTTATGTTAGAAAATCTAGTTAGTTATAAAGAAATTAAATGTAAAAAATGATACCTAATATGGATACAGATGGTTGGAACTCTTTCATAGTCTCATCAAATACATCAGCAGAGGACCCAACCTACACTCAATCTTAAAAATTGGTCTTGACTAGTCATGAAGAATAAAAATACATCAATTATAATTTATATCCATTGACGTTTCTACTGTCCTTCACGCCTGAGATTCCTTGTGACAGCATTCGTTGTATAGCTGCATTAAATAAGGGGTTTTTTTTTTAAGCTACCAAATTAGGATCATTCTAAGCACACCAAGTTAAGAAAAAGATAGAAAAAGAAACACATACCAATGTATTTTAATGAATTACTAATGCAGATTACTTACAATTTCTGAGTTGACTGTTCATTAGGATTCAAAATTCCTACTTCGTTAACTTCATATGTCTTTTGCGTATGTGCAGATACAATTTTATCTCCTTTGGAAACCACTCCATCAAATAACGCCACATTGGCTATCACACCTCTGTACTGGTCAAAGGTGGAGTCAAATACCAGAGCTCTCAGGGGATTTTTGCGATGCACTTTAGGACTAGTAAATATAAGTAAAAAACAAATACATACATACTAAATTACAATCTTAATAAAACGCCTATTTTCAACTGAGATATTGTACTTAATTTATTATATTTCTTGAGAAAGGTTGATACTCAACAGCCAAAATAAAAGGACCTTTTTCATAAAATATGGTACATTAGATTTAATTCAACCTCTAGTTTTAAATTTTTTAATTAACTTATGAATATATTTGTTCAGTATAAAGCAAAGAACAATAATTGCCAATGTACTGAAGTCTCTTTATTATGATTGTCAAGAAGAGATTCCTATCATCCTTCCTATTTTAATTTCTGTACTGTATTTGCCTTTTATATATATTACTAAAAGCAAATAAATTTATTCTTCCTGACAGCAAAAGTATTTGCCATAAAAATTAAGCTAAAATAACATTATCACATTGTTAAGTCTTTGAACTATTAAGTATAGGTGAGCTATAGTACAAACATAGCAAAATACTTACGGGGGTATTCTTTCAATAACTGCCTGAAGAACACTTTCAACATTTGTTCCAAGTTTAGCAGAAATCTAAAAATATACATATGAAAAAAACAAGCATGTAAAGACTGTATTTTTCTATCCTGATGACTTGTGACTTATGATCAGAAGGAAGAAAGAATTCTAACAGTTATCAATCTGTTTGAAAAACACAGCAAAAAGAAAAGCACAAAGCAAATAATAAATTGACAAATACTTCTTTTTTCATTATGGTTATGTGTTTCTATGTTCTAGGATTGAATTACAAGAGCATTCTGACTATAGTACAGAAAGAGCAATGGACTAAGAGTTCAAAAAATCTGGCTAACAATCATGTTGTCTCTGATGGAGTATTTCACTTTGACCAAGACTTGTCTCCTTGAGCTTTAATTTCCTCATCTGAAAAATAAAGTGATTATTCATATTCTGCCTAAATCTCAAGGTTGCTGTGTGAATAGAATGTATTTGGACAACATGCAACTATAAGGCATATTACTGTTTTATTGTTCTCACACTAGAAAAGCAAGCCAAGACTCAAGCCACATGCCTATGCCTGACCTTGGTCATCACCAGTAGTAAATGGACTGTCTCTGAAATCTTGACTTCAAACCTCTTACCCTTCAAACCCAGTCTAGACCAGGATTTTTCAACCTCAGCACTACTGACAATTTGGGCCAGATAACTCTTTGTTTTGGGAGCCTGTCCTGTGCCTTACAGGATGTTCAGCAGCAACCAGGGAATCACACTGACCTACAAGATGCTAGTAGCACCCCTCCCAAGTGGTGGCAACCCAAAATGTTTCCAGACATAATCCAGTATCCCTGGTGGTTGGGGGCCGTGGGGGGACCAATCACTACTGAAAACTATTGCTCTAGACTCTTAGTACCCTCTTTACAACAGGCCTTACCTTCTAATCTATTCGATAGCCTATTTTATGATGGTATCCATTAGTGCCCCCACTCCCTTTCCATACTGTCCCAGCTGGGACTCCAAGATAACACTGTTCAGAATCATCCTGTACAATCACTTTCTATTCTCTCCCTGTCAAAAAGCAGCTGGCAAAAGCTTCAACCTTGACTGCATCCAATGATGTGCCTTTTCTATTCCTATTCCAGAGCAGATTAATTACTGGAGGAAAAATCAAATAAATAGCCTGGTTGATTTCTTGAGTCTGACAACAAGCTGCCTATGGGCAGCCTTGCTTCTTTCAAATTTATCTCCAATATCAAGGAATATAATTTAATGCAGTGCATATTTTGAAACTGATTCTTAATTTATTAATTTTAAATGGAGGGCTGTAGACAGTACTCAGTTTAGAATGTTAGGTTTGATATGTTACGTTGTTTCCTCCTAGATTATAAGCTCCTTAGTGATTTCACATCTGGGCCATTACTGCTAACTGGACTCCCTGTACCTCTTCTTGTACTCCTCCAATCCATCCTCTATAAGACAACATGAATGACTGTTTTATTTCCCTTTCTTGTTTAAAATCTTTTCATAATCTCAGAATAATTTTCAAACTCTTTAGCAAAGGAAAACAGTCCCAGCATGACTCGATCTCTACATACCCCTAACAAAGCCTTCTCATCCAACTTGCCTCCTCCTCTCTGTTCCTTAAACATCCCAAATCCTATCCTGATTTAGGTTCTTTATACTTGCTCTTTTCTCTTCCTGGAATTCTTTCCTCAGAACTATTCACTCCTTCAGGTCTCAATTTATTAGAGAAGCTTTCCCTAAGTTAGTCCATGTCACAGCATCTCTCTGAGAGAAAAAAAAAAAAAAGATTTTTTTTCATTGTTACTTATGGTATTTCACCTACAGTAAAATTTGATGAATGAATTTCATTGACAGTATCTGTCCTATTCAATCATTCCCACGCTTACTTCTCTGTTTGCTTATTTACTGACTGACTGTAGAGGCAAGGGTCTTGTGCGTCTTGTTCACTGCTATAGCCCTAGTTGTCCAACACCAAATAAATACCCAAATGCATTTTGTGAAGATTAAAACCAGAAGTTAATTATACTTTAATATCATACTATCTAAGATATACAACCAAATGTAATTCCAGTTGGATACCTTATAATGAGGTCCCTATATAATAAAAATACATTAAATTCTATGTATACAAAAAATTATTACTTTATTCAGTTTGTAAGTAATCATCCTTTGTTTAAATTAAAAAATAAATAAATAAACCCTACTCTTTCAAAAACCAGATGAGATTTGAAAGAAAAACATTATACTGCTGCACTAACATAACTTACTACACTACTATGCACTTATGGCAGTTTGGCTGTGGCGATTTAACAAGAAAATCATCATTTGAAAGGAGAGTAAAAATTCAAATTTAAAACAGTATCAACTTTGATATAAATAAAACCTACTGTTTCCTAGCATTACCACAGCTAGCTTTTTTATAAAATAGGTTTTTGTCAATTCCAATAATGATACATACAACTACCTTTAAATTAGTTTGAACCTGCTCTTCAAACATAATATTCTCATAGAGGCAAAATGGTATACAAGAAATAATACTGCAGGAAGTTTGAGAAGGCCTGTTTTAGTCTGGGCATACTGACTAACTAAACTTGTGATGTTAGGAAAGTGGTAAATCTTTGAGCTTTAATTCCTTTAACTGTAGCATTGTAATAATACAGTATCAAAAGGGTTTCTGATAGAAGCAATCAAATAATAGTAAAAGAACTCTGCAAAACCATGAAAAAAACTATATCATGCTAGGTTATCAAATACCACAAAATTTCGCTTTTTAAAAAAGTATAATCTTTTCCAAAACAAGGTATTTTACCTTGATACATTCATCACTTGGAATATCAAACACTTTTTCAATTTGTTTTTCAACCCTTTCAGGATCAGCATTCTTCAAATCTATCTTTAAAAATAAAAACATTATGTTAGTATAATAAAAATAAATAATATTAACAGTATTTGAATGATTAAAAGATTGCCTGCTTTAAACTAACTGACCCCTCTAAGATTTTTTTTAAAGTATTAAAAAATAATATATATATAAGCAATACAATTTAACAAGTATGACTACTGAAAAATATCAGATAACAGAACATGCAAAAAACTTAAGCAGTTAGCTACTCAACGCAGAAGAATTCAGTAGTAATTTATCAATTAGCACCATGGGCACTGATTTTAAAAGTTAAACACAAGTCTGACAAGCTTTCTTACCTGTGACCTTTCTTTTTCAAAACTTAACTCCAAAATCAAGAAATGTTAATTTAACTCAATGCAGATTTTAAAATTAAAATTCTTAATGTATTAATTTTAAAACATAAAATGGAGGTTGGTAGACAGAACTCAGTTTAGCGCTGAACTGTTACATTTCATGTGTTGTACTGTTTCCTCCTGTATCACAAGCTCCTTTTTTTTCCTATGTGAAGTTTAGTACAACAGACATGTTTTTTTCTGTTGTGCATTCCTTTCCTACAGAAATGGCCTTCCAGTACCCCATGTAGTTCAGGGGACTATCTTCTCAACTATGTTTGAAGGTATAGGAGTTTCAGTTGCAATTCTGTTATATACAATTCAAAGAGATAAATCCCACCAGCACATTTAATAAATAGGTGGAGATCTCTAATATAATATATAGTACACCTGATATTTTAACACTAAATGTACTTTTAGGAAGTGAAAATAATAAATAGCAGGGCTGTCTCATTATACTTACCTTGTTTATAACTGGAATTACTGACAGCTGTGCTTCAAAGGCAAGAAAGAAGTTTGCTACGGTTTGGGCTTGAATACCCTGGAAATATCAAGACACAAGACACTGATATGACAACCATCCAGCACAAAACTTGTAATTCAAGACCATTCCACACATCTTTATCAAAACTGAGATTCTGCATAACTCTAATAATAAAATTAAACAAAAATGCCATATATCTGTCTTTCATACTTTTCTCTCCATCTTACGTCTTGGGGGTCAAAACGAAGATGGCTGATGGTAAAGCAATAACCAGATCAAGCAGGGCGGTCCACCAGACACTCGCTACTAAGGTGGAGATAGGAAGCCTCAAGCAGAGGTACAGGGCAAACGAGCTGAGGTACCTATACATCCAGGCCTATGGATCATTCCCTGTGATAATTCCTTTTCTGTTCAGGAAGCAGTTATGAGAGGGCCCATTCTATGGCAGGAACTGTGTCAGACACTGAAGACACAAAGATAAAACATGGACTCAAGGACCTCAAAGCCTACTAGAGGGCACAGTCACATAGCACAGTCTATAAAGCCCAGTATCTAAGGTACAGACTGACTTTTCCTGGCAGGATCAGGAAAAGCTTACCACCACCACGGCGTACCCTTTGGGTTTTGAATAAAGAGTTTGTAAGAAACCGAGACATATCAAAAGCTTACTTTAATATATAATGGATCTTATATGGTAATTGGCTGATTATGTTTTTATGATTTATACCACAAAAGAACTTGGTAATGTTATTTGATTTTCTTTAAACCTAACACTTTCCGAATTACTGCCTTAAAATCACCTAAAAATGATCTGAAAACTAAAGATTTATTTCCAAGCTGTCCTTGGAATTGATATGGAAACCTCAGATTAAAAACTGCTAGAATTGAAGATGGGTTTTTGTTCTTTTTTTTGGCAGGATACACAGAGACATGACATCGTATTTCAACAAAAATGCAATCTTTTGAACAATTCTTCCAATCACTTTTCAAATATTAAAAGATTAACAGTCAATTTCACAGAACACTTTAATGTAATAAAACTCCAAGTTAACAGGATCAAGGAATACAGTTTTGAATAATACAATAAATCTATTTTTTTCAAACACAAAAATTCTATTTCCCCCCAAAATTTTAAGCCTCTTGAAACAATCAAGAAGGCATGTGACATCACATGCAGAACATACAAAATGAAAAACACCTACCTCATTTGCATCAACCACAAGTAGAACACCCTGGCAAGCAGAAAGTGACCTGGACACTTCATAACTAAAATCAACATGGCCCTGAGAAACAAAAAATATTGACACCTCTAAATGTTAGCTGTAATTTTTTTAGGAAGGGGCATTATGGCAAAGCTACTGACTCTACTTTAAGTTGTTCAATATAGGTTTCTGTTTTTTTAGCCTGCACTTTTGAACAATTTACATTTAACACAAGAACACTGAGAAAGCAAAAAGAAAATGTAGATGTTTAATATTCAGTTTAAAAATTAAGGATTTGTCTTCACTATTAACACAAGGTTGACTTTAACAATATAAGTAAAATTCATATTAAACTTACTGGTGTATCAATGAGATTTAAAAGGTATTGTTTTCCTTCACAATTGTAAAAAAGAGATGCTGTCTGTGCTTTAACAGTGATTCCTCTTTCCCGTTCCACTTGCAATTTATCAAGAACCTGCTTATTATTCTTTGTTTTATCAATTGTCCCTACAAAAAGAAACACTTATTGATACTTCTCTGGACTTTAAAACAAAGAGTATTACATATAAAATTAAGACCAAAATTTAATACGGCGTGGAAAAAGTAATTCCCAATTACTCACAGCTATTAAGTATATAATATAAAATGAAAATACCTGTTAGTTCTAAGAGCCTGTCTGCTAAAGTACTTTTGCCATGATCCACATGTGCAATAATACTGAAATTTCTGGTATTTTCAACAGGAAATCCAGACATGTCAAGTTTTTCCTAAAAATAAGAGAGAAATATTAAATTTAGGAGTATAAATTTTGCATAAAAGTATACTATTTTTTAAAAACAATTTCATTTCTAGCACTTATATTGTTGACATTCTGACAATAAAGACATGTATGGTAAGTAAGCTCACAAACTACTGGAAATTGGTATTCAAGTAAAATATATCAGTTCTTTCGTACTCTAAACATTTTATCCAATAAAAGCTATATGTAGTAATCAGCAAAAAACATGAAACTATAATGGAAGTTTTCTTTTTATAACTGCCCCAATATAAGGCACATAATAAAAGTACATTCATATCTGAAAGAAATTCTGCCAAAAAAAAAAAAACTCATCCTGATGTTTGCCCTATAGATGGTCATATCTTTTGCCCTTCAATTCAAAAGGTAAACAAAACTCTACCATGTTTAAGAACCTGGAATTGCAATACAAATCCACTTTTAAAACCACAGACCTATTAGAAAAAATGGCTAATTATAATAAAGTCTGATTTTTCCACCTACTTTATAGCTTGCATTCAATTGCTTCACTTTTCTGCCTAAACTATAGGTATCTCTTCACGGTTATGTAGTTTTATGTAAGAGTTGCTGAACCCTCACCTTCTCCAACCACAAAATCACAGAGGTTTGTTCTGGTTGAGGTAAAATAATATAATAAAACAAACAGAAGTTAAGACATTACCCAGCACTTCTTGCATCCCAGGTACGGGTCTAAAAAGTTCCAGCCTTATATACACAAACCTCACAAATAAGCCATTGGATGTTCTATTACTGTGTTTCCCCGAAAATAAGACAGGGTCTTATATTTATTTTTCCTCAAGAAGACACCCTAGGGCTGTGTTATTTCAGGGCATGTATTATTGTTTTTAAGGACGGTACAACAATCTACATTTACTCAAATAGAGGTAAGTCGTCTTCCTCTGGAACATGATCCTAACTCTCCAAACTCCGAATTCCATCCTGAATTTCTTGTGACTCTATTTCCTTTAGAACCAATGGCCCCCATCTCTCACGTGGAGCACTAGAGCTTCACAGGGCAGTTGAGAAGGGCTGCTCCTCCTCTTTCCCGCTCTGCCAGGACATGCATGGGTTGGGTTGTGCAGATGTGCTGCATAGCCACGCCCACCACTGGGTCTTATTTTATGGGTAGGTCTTATTTTCCGGGAAACACAGCGATATCTCATTCAACAAATAAAGCAGCAGAGCCTCAAAGAAGTAACTTGCCCAAGTCACATAGCTAACAAGCTGCCGGGAAATAAAAGTGATATTAGCAGCTTCCCTGATAGGCTTTCAGGAAAATTAAATAAATCAATACACGCAAAGCTCTACGACCAATGCTTGGCATAAACTAACAGACGCATCAGCTGACACGGCCAATCAGAAACCCTAGGACAGGCATCCTCAAACTACAGCTGGTGGGCCATGTGCCGCCCACCCAGGACATTTATCTGGCCCCAGGTGTGTTGCCTGTCCTGCTTAGCAGCCCACTGCTCCCGGGCCCACAGTGCGCATGTGTGGAATGTGCCCCAACTCTCCAACGGCCTTCCCACGGGTCTGAGGGACAGTGAACTGGCCCCTGTTTTAAAAGTTTGAGGACCCCTGGTCTAGGAAGTTCAGTGAGTCGCCCAAGGTCACACCGGTGAGAGGTGGGAGGTCCCATGCAGGAGCCCCAGCAATTTCCCCGCTCTCTGCTCTGCTTCCCTTTACAGATCCCAAGAGGGATTCACGGCCACTCCCAGGAAAGCCTGCCGATTCCAAGATCACAGGGGCACTCCGAAGTTTTAAGAAAGTGGCTCCTCGGTCACCTTGAGGTCCGCGGAGCTGAAGCGCCTGGCTGCGGGCTCGCGGGTTGGCGCAGGTCGAGGCCCCGGCAGGCGCCGGCGCGCGGCCCACAGCGCGAGCGCATGCCCGCGCCCCCAGCCCGGACCCAAGACGGTCCACATGCCCCGGGCGGCGAAGGTGTCAGGAGAGGGTTCCGGGAGGCAACAGCGCCATTGCCCGAAGCCTCCCTAGGGCCCCGCAGCCAGGCGGGGAAGGGAGGGAGCTGCGGTCGCTCTACACAACCGGAAGCCCTAGCTACTCGCCGGAAACGCGGCGCAGCGCTGTGACGTCCGCGCGGCGCAGCTCTATGGCGTCAGAGGGCGCGCGACATCTTAACGTCCGCGCGTCTCCTCGCGAGACAGTGAAAGCTGAAGTTAAAGTCATGGAGCCTAAAGGTGGTATTAGGAACACAACCCACCCAGTGGCAAAATAAAATCTTTTAAAATCTGGATGTTGAGATGTATTCCACATGTCAGTCATGGAGCTAACCTCAGATGAGCTCCGGTGAAGTGAGAAAGGGGTAAAAGTGATGATGAGACCTGGATGGCATCCGATGTTTGCCTCCCGCTATTTCCTCGGGCTTTTCTGGAACATCCAGAGGTTGGTTCCAAGGAGGGAGAGGGTAGTTGTGATCAGTTCACCATTGTGATTGGAAACAGAATTCTTAGTATTGTTCCCAAAACCTTTGAAAGTTTCAATTGGACACAATTGAAGACTTTCCTGAGCAGTGAAAAATGATATTTGTTTTTGGCTAACCTCGTATAGACTTATGGACCCTTTTCTAGACCCTTGTACACTCTCCAGAAAGCAAACATTAAGTCTTTTTTTGTCTTTTTTTTGTTTATATGCATAACGAAGACATGATTTTTTTTCTTTTTTTTAAACATTAAGTCTTAATTAGCACAACCACCATAAATTCCCACCACTTCCCTAACTCATAATACTCCCTAAAGATTTGCCCTCAGAAAACTACTCATTGAATTTTTTCCCCCCCTTGGCATGTGTTGTCTTGTCTGGCAAATCAATAAACTCAACTCTGATGATCACAGGAGTGGTCTGGCCTTTCCTTTACTCGCTGTCTGAGTTTTGGAAATCAGAGCAAACACATTGATCTCTAAAGCCTAAAATCGATACGTAAGAGATGAGATCAGGAATATCCAAAGCCACTTCAGGGAGAAAATAGTGTACAGTAGTGCTTCCTGATCCACCGTTTTGCTTTCCACAGTTTCAGTTACGAGAACTATTAAACGGAAAATTGCAGAAATAAACCATTCATACATTTTTAAATTGCGCACTGTTGTGAGTAGTGTGATGAAATCTCTTGCCCACCTGCTCCATCCTGCCCTGCACTGGAGTCTTGCCTTTGTCCAGCACATCTATGCAGTCTACATGACAGCATGTACCTTGTTTCCCCGAAAATAAGACCAGGTCTTATATTTATTTTTCCTCAAGAAGACACCCTAGGGCTTATTTTCAGGGGGTGTGTTGTTTTTTTTAAGTATTGTACAACAATCGACATCTATTCAAATAGAGTGAAGTCGTCTTCTTCTGGAACATCATCATCACTCTCCAAACCCCAAATTCCAACCTGAATTTCTTGCGACTCTATTTCCTTTATAACCATTGGCCCCAATCTCTCATTTGGAGCACTAGAGCTCTCATGGGGCAGATGAGAAGGGCTGCTTGTGTTCTTGACCACTCTGCGATGAAATGCATGGGTTGTGCAAATGTGCTGCATAGCCACACCCATCACTAGGTCTTATTTTGGGGGTAGGGCTTCTATTGCACAAATGCTTAGAAATCCTGCTAGGGATTACTTTTCGGGGAAACACGGCATGTTAGTCACTTAGTAACTGCCTCAGTTATCACATCGACAGATCACAAGAAAGGGTGAGTACAGTATAATAAGATATTTTGAGAAAGAGAAGGAAGAACCACATTCACATGACTTTTATTCCAGTATATTTTTTATAATTGTTCTTTTTTATTATTAATTATTTTTGTTAATCTCTTATTTGGGCCTGATTTATAAATTAAACTTTATCATAGGTTTAAAGGTTTAAATCATAGGTTTAAATCATATCATAGGTATGTATATGTAGGAAAAAACATAGTATATATAGGGTTTGATACTATGCATGGTTTCAGGCATCCACTGAGGGTCTTGGAACATAGTGGGGAGATACTGCACGGGACAGGACAACAGTTGGTATAATTTAACAAATGGTTTCAATATAGCTGAAGAAAAACATGGATCCACCAGAAGGAATATAAACCAGAAAAAAAAAAAAAAGAAGAAGAAGAAGAAAGGGCATTAGAAAGGCAAAGGTTGACATTATCTTTATAGGGTCCATTGTGGTAAGTGCCTTGAACCAAGAACTTTTTTTTATGTGTTGGCTAGAAATGGAGGCACAGGGAATTAAAAACCAAGTCCCCACACTCTGATTCCACTTCACTAAGTAATATTTCTATTATCTTTTGTCTTCACATAGTTTTGCCTGCAATACATGTGGTCAAATGTACCTTTTTAGGTTTGAGGTATGAAGATTTAAGTCTAATAATTCTCATCCTTTAACACAGGATGTCTCCTCCCTGGTGGAAAAGATATAGAATCAACAAATTATGCTGCTTCCTATTGTTTTTAAGAAGATGATATTAAGATACATTTGCACCTTTTATAAGTGATCACAAATACGTATTGAAATAAATGGAACATGCAATATCTGCAAAGCTCGTGTAAGAATTTTTACTATATACAAATTGTACCAACTTCTATCCAAAGAACAGAGATGCTCAGTGCATTTCCTGCCTCCCTATTTGAGTTTCTAACGGATCAATTTACAATCAACTTCACAACGAATAGTTCTTTCTAAGGCAGGACCTTTTCTAACTTAGGCCACTTTGTGGGTGTTGAGAAATGTTAATACTCGTAAAACCCTTATAATTTAACTGAGAGTGTCCATAAGGCATGCCCAGAAGAAATTCGGAAGCTCTACAAAGTAGACCCTTAAATCTATCTGAGGTCATTTTCTGTATTCTGCCTGGAAAGTTCCCTTTCTATTTTTCAAGTTAATTTTAGCAATGGTGTCGCCAAACTTTCTAATGCTACATAAAATAGGTTATTTTTTTTTCCATCTTTTGAAAACATATTTTTCACTATTTTTCAAATCCTTACCCTGGGGCCCTTTGAGCTTCCGCTAACAGTCTCCTTGCGGCTCTTCCAAATTTTTCTTCCTATTTCGTCTCAGAGCCAATGTAACATTTTAAAAAACCGATTACATGCTCTACATTGTGTTCTTGTTATTTGTCGCTATCATTACAAACCGCTCTAAAATTGAGTGGCTTAAAACAATCGTTCCTTTTGCTCATTCATCTGCAATTTGGAAGGATTGGCAGGGATGGCTTGTTTCTGTCGTATGATGTGTGTGGCCTCAACTGGGGTGATTGGACAAGCAGGGCGCTTGAAAAATGACTTATTCCTCTTGTCATAGTCACAGGGCCTTTCCACGTGGGTCTCTCGAGCATGACTCTCAGGGTACATTGCCTTATTACATGGCAGTTGACCTCCTAGAACAAGTGTTCCAAGAGACCGAGGCAAAAAGCTGACTCCCAGGCTCAGAAGTCTGAGAACATTACTTTCACCACATTTTATTGGTCAAGCAAGTCACTAAGGCCAGCCCATCGTCAAGGTGAAAGGTATTCCTTCTCAACAAGAGGAATGTCAAGGAATTTGTAGCTATCTTTCATCTGCATTTTTAATTGTCCAACTAATTTCTTCCTATTTTTTCAGTTGAGACAGGGCCTCGCTCTTGCTCAGGCTGGTCTAAAACTCCTGACCTCGAGCAATCTTTCTGCCTCGGCCTCCCAGAGTGCTAGGATTACAGGCATGAGCCACCACTCCCAGCCAATTTATGTATTATAAAATAAGATATGAATGGTCAAGAAATGTTGAATCTCTAATCACAATCTATCTGTAAAAGCAAGCATTTGCACATATATACCTCCCAGCTTCTTTTGATAAAATGAAATTTATGCAGATTTATGTACTATCAGAGTAGAGTCCACTAAAAAAAAGTTATGTGTTGAATGACTATAAATAATGGACACAAGAATAAATATAGATACCTGCTATTGATCCAGCTTCATTTTTACCTAGAATCATAATCATAACAAGTACCATTTATTGAGCATTAACTACTTCCAGCTACTGTGGTAATTGCTCCTTTTGCAAAATTCTGCCTAATCCTCATATTGTATACATGTTTATTTATACACACATATATACATACATTTTGATTAATGATTTAGGTATATTATGAAACATAAAAAATAAAGTTAAGTGGATGAGATAAAGATGGAATAAACTGTACCTAAGATGTAGGTATACATTTTGTTCCTTTTTACAGTTGAGAGAACTGAGTATCCATTTGGTTAGATAACTTATGGAGGAATTTATGTAATTCCCAGGAAAGACTGCTTATGAAAATTAATTATATCAACTTGCTAAATGTATGTAAATTTGACTTCTTATTACATTTAAAAATGACAATAATAATAACATGGTTGCCAAGAATGTACAACTCAACTACTGCTCATATCAGGTTTAATAATTACAGGTGCAAAGTATGTTTCTGCTAACATTTAATTATTACCAAACTAAAAACTTAGTAAGAGTTCAGTAATAATTCTGCTAGATTCCAATGTCTTCTACTAAAACAAAAGTGGAAGCTGACAAAAAAATAGATTAAAAGTCAAAGATTATTATGACAGTATTAATGAAGCAAAAACCTGTAGTTTTCTTGTCTTTTCTTGCCATAGAGCATATTGAGCTCTTTAAAATTCATGCAGTGAAATAGAATTTTATGCCTATTTTCATGTAACTATGTAATATTCTGGGCTGTAGTTTCAGGCTTATAAAATAGAAGCAGCATGATCTTTAAGGGGCAGATGATCAGGAACAAATCTTTTGTGCTACTAACAAAAAGTGCTTATAGAGAATGCTGACCAAAATGCATTAAAAATAATGGAAAATGAAATGCATTGTATTCTTCTCTGCATTAATGTGAATAGTAATTTATATGTAAAATGCATCCAATGTACATTAAATTGCAACACAGATTGCCAAGTAAAGTAATTGCATGATAAACACTGGTAATAAAGAATCAATTTTCCTGTCAGCAGAGGTAGAAAATGATAACACATACTCCTTTGGGTTTATTGACAGCTCCGTTCAGCTGAAAAATATTTTGCAGGGTTATAAATAAACATCATTTAGTGTTTCCAAATAGGTACAGTCATAACACCAGAATTCTGGCCAGCCATATACAGTGTTTTTGGAGAAGCAGAGAAATAAAAGGAAACTAGTCTGAGTGAGAGAATTGATGTTTCAGACTAGGTTCTTTCACATACTAGGTGTGTAACTATACAAGTCATTGAGCCTCTCTTGAGCCTCTGGTTTTTGTTGTTGTTGTTGTTTTTTGAGACAGAGTCTCGCTTTATTGCCCAGGCTAGAGTGAGAGCCGTGGCGTCAGCCTAGCTCACAGCAACCTCAAACTCCTGGGCTCAAGCGATCCTCCTGCCTCAGCCTCCCGAGTAGCTGGGACTACAGGCATGCGCCACCATGCCTAGCTAATTTTTTTCTATATATATTAGTTGGCCAATTAATTTCTTTCTATTTATAGTAGAGACGGGGTCTCGCTCTTGCTCAGAGCTGGTTTCGAACTCTTGACCTCGAGCAATCCTCCCGCCTCGGCCTCCCAGAGTGCTAGGATTACAGGCGTGAGCCACCGCGCCCGGCCTTGAGCCTCTGTTTTAATATCAGAAGACTTCCGTGCTGGATGTCACAATTTTATATGATGCTTGCTTGTATTGACAGACATCAACTGAAATATTGGATTCGAGTATGCAGAATTAATAGTAGTGATCATTCACCCATCCATCTAATAATTCATCCTTTAATTTAACACAAATACGCATGTATAATTGTCAGGTCTAGAGCACATTGTTGCAGATATAGCTATGGAGCAAGTCAGTCTCTACAACACTTGATGGACGATCAGAGAGATGCTAAGAAATTGTGAGTGTGGACGGAAATTCTTCTCCTTGAGTCCTCCTGCTAATTGCAATTAGGAACCACAGAAAAATCTTCCCTGATTTTGGCAATTCACTAAAGGCATCATTTTTTACAATCTTTTAATTTAACCTTCATTGCCTCCTGCCAATCTGCTACTTTAAAAGTGGTATTTCACTTTGTTGAATAATTACAAACAGAAGTCTAATTGGGAGAACAGGTTGGCTTCAACCAGGCTGATAGCAGGGAGGATGGAATAAACTGGGAGATATACTTTTGAGAAAGAATTGGTAGAATTTGTTGACAGGTTAGATGATTTCTGATTTGACTCAGTGGGTGCTTTGTGATGCCATTTCTTGAAATGGAGAAAACCGTATTGGGTTGAGGGGGGTAGAGATTTCTTAAAAATCTGTTTTTGATTATGTTAAGTACGAAACATCTGTCAAATTGACAGTTTAGGGCTGAGAAAAAAAGGTCAGAGGTGCATATGTAACTTTTGGATTGTCTATGTATAATAATATATAAATCTAGGAGAATAGATGTGATCATCTTAGGAGAGAATTCAAAGAGAGAACAAAGTAAAGGGAGGAAAGGAGGGAAGGAAGGAGAGAGTGGGGAGAGAAAGGGAAATGAAAGGGAAGGAAAGGAAAGTGGCTGTGAGTAGAACATGGGGCTTTTTATATCCAGTGAGAATCTTTATTCATATTTTTGTGCAGTCTTTTTGGTCACTCAGAACCCAGAAACTATTATTTAAATAAATGAGTTAAAATATTAAATTGATGACACTGTGACTATACATAATATTGATCTCTATTTCTGTTCTTCTGCATACACTATAACAATCAGATGATTCATTAATGGAAAAAACACTTAAATGCATATTTTATACATATCTAGTATTACCTTTGTAAGGGTAGCTTTAAAATATTCTGGCATATGCATTAGTGGACCATTAATGCACTTCTCAGGAGATTGAAGTCATTTGGTCTTCAATGTTTCATAGCTTATAGTTCACTTGAGATTTGGATTAATTTCATTTTTATATGCCATTTTTGGTCCATGTATTCCTGCAGTTCATTTGATCAAGCCAGTTTTTATGAAGGAAACAATGTTGAAAAGTATAAAATCAAAAAATAAGTTTAAAATTTATCTAAATGGACTAAGATTACAAATATCATCTTTGGTAAGCTTTTCTGTGAATTTGTATGCCAGAAACAAAGAATGTACCCTGAATCTCTGCTGTTACAGGAAGGGACCTATGTTCTCACATAAAGAACTTTGAAAGAAAGAATGGAAAAGGTGATGATCTAAATTTGGCTGCTATTCAACAATTTGGCCTTACTCTATAGCGTTATGTTATATATTAGGACAGAAAACTTGTCAGAATTCTAGAAGTGACCATTGATAATTGCCTTTTCCTTCTCCCTCCTATTCAGTGAAAATTGAATCCTATTAAATCTTCTTTCCACATATCTTCTGGGGTTTTTTGTTGTTGTTGTCATTTTTGTTTTTGTTTTTTGAGACAGAGTCTCACTCTGTTGCTTGGGCTAGAGTGCCGTGGTGTCAGCCTAGCTCACAGCAACCTCAAACTCCTGGGCTCAAGTGATCTCCTGCCTCAGTCTCCCGAGTAGCTGGGACTACAGGCATGTGCCACCATGCCCAGCCAATTTTTTCTCTTTATATTTTTAGTTGGCCAATTCATTTGTTTCTATTTTTAGTAGAGATGGGGGTCTCACTCTTGCTCAGGCTGGTCTCGAACTCCTGACCTTGAGCGATACGCCTGCCTCGGCCTCCCAGAGTGGTAGGACACATATCTTCTGTACCTGTTCAGTCCTCTCTGTTTCCACTGGACCTTCCTCCGTTCAAATAGCTCTTTGTCCTTCCTGGGCTGAATCCTCTTCTCACTGATATGCCTGTTCCAGTCATGACCTCTTCCATTCATCGTTCTCTTAGCTGCAATGGCTTTTGGATCAGTTCTCCCCACTTCAACGGCGACCCTAGTCCAAGCCTCCGAGTCTCATGCCTGCGTTATAGCAGCAGCCCCTTCCTAACCAGGCTCCCTCCTCCAATTCTGCATAACGCTGACCCTATCATCTCATTGCTTAAAACCTCCAAGGACATCTCATTTCAATTATATTGGCGTCTAGACTCCTTACCATGACCTACAAGCTCCTTTGGGATCCGCCCATGCTTCTAACGTCATCTCCTTCCACTTTTCCCTGGTTCAAAAATCACTAGTCTCATTGGCTTTCTCTCTAAACCACCAACCACCAAACTCCTTGCCATCTCAAACCCTTTGCTTTAGACGTTCTTCACATAATCTTTCAAATGACCTCTTCCTTCTCATCCATCAGATATCTATCCAAATGACCCTCTTAAAAGGCCTTCTCTGACTACTAAAATCTTCTCCCTTTAGCACTCTTCATCTTAATAGCATATTCTTCTTCTCTCCTGAAATCATTAATATCTCGGATAATAATGTGAGTTCTGGGCTGTCTGCCATGATTCAAACGTTGGCTCTTTCAACTACTTACTAGTTGATGACCTTGAGCGAGTTGCTTAATCTCTATTTCTTTTTTCTGTAAAACAGGATAATAATAATACCTCGTAAGATTGTTGAATTAAATGACTTAAACCTGACAGTTGTAGAAAAATGCCCAGCTGGTCATTATTATTAGTTATATGTGTACTATAATCAATCCTAAAATATATCTCTTTAAATGCAAGCTACACAGAGCTGCATTTAAAGAGATGCTAGTCCTGTAACCCTAGCATCTAGAACAAAGTCTGGTACTTAGTAGTAGGTCCTCAATAAATATGTGATCTGCCACTACCTGACTAGTGATCTAGAAAAGGAAGCTCTGATCAAACAAATTCGAATTCCAAATGTTTTTAAACAGTGCGGAAAAGATTACTGCGGCATTCTGTCCTTAGCTCCAGCACAAAAATTTTAAATGCCAAGGCTGGGCGCGGTGGCTCACGCCTGTCATCCTAGCACTCTGGGAGGCTGAGGCGGGAGGATCGCTCAAGGTCAGGAGTTCGAGACCAGCCTGAGCAAGAGTAAGACCCCCATCTCTACTATAAATAGAAAGAAATGAATTGGCCAACTAATAGATATAGAAAAAATGAGCTTGCATGGTGGCCCATGCCTGTAGTCCCAGCTACTCGGGAGGCTGAGGCAGGAGGATCGCTTGAGCCCAAGAGTTTGAGGTTGCTGTGAGCGAGGCTGATGCCACGGCACTATAGCCTGAGCAACAGAGTGAGACTCTGTCTCAAAATAAATAAATAAATGCACTAGATCACATGAGCACTTAATATATCTGTCTTAACCTCTGCTGGAGAAGTGAGAAACAGGAAAAAAGAGTCAGAGTCAGACCATAATTAGTCTTCCTAAATGTTGTTCACATAAATAGAATATTTCAGATCTAGCCAAAATCAACGAAACCCTATTTTTATTTTGGTGCTAAGATCTTCATAAGAAACGACAGGGATCTAGCACCTCTTATATTTTTCCGGGTTGAGCTTGAGCCCATTATCCAAAGTGAGGTGACACAAGATGGAAAGAATGGGCTCCACGTGTACTCGCCATCAAATTGGTACTGACGGATCAACACTATGGTGCCCACATGGTAGTGATATTCTCCAGGGATGGGGGACTGGGGGGATTAAACTCACGACAATAGGACACGGTGTGCATTGTTGTGTGTGGGGGGCGGAAGGGCAGGCCTGTAATTTCCACTTGGGAGAGGCCAGGATATAAAATGTAGCCAAAATGTTTGTACCTTCACAATATCCTGAAATAAAAATAAAAATGAGTAATGGAAATGAAAACAAAACAAAACAAAAAAAGATTATGTACCATACATTGACTTTTTTCTGCATATTAGTAGTAAATCCTATCTAGGTAAAATATAATCTCAAAGGCCATGAAGTAGAGGGAACATTGAAGCATCTTACTTTCCAATGCTTGCCTCAAATGAATAATCTTATGTCAAAGTATAATAAACATGCAGGCAAGGGAATTCAATCTATCTTTCCACCATTTCCACATTATCAGTTTATGTCTGTACACTGTTCACTGTGTTTGTAAACCATAACAAGTGTTATGAGATACTGTATTTGGCATTTTGGTAGGCTTTTTTTTTTTTTTTTGGCTGTAGCATCTGTTCAGAGTGTCAGAGTACAAATTTAGAAACATATATATATATAGCCAGCCCGGTCATCTTTCCACAAACAGTTTTGCTTTAAGAAGCTCATGTAAAGCTACACTAGTTGGGGGATATTTCCACATCAAACACACAGAGGTATGTGTCTGATCCTTCTCAAAGACTTGGCATATAAACAAAGTGGGAAGCTGGGTTATGTAAGGACTCTAATACCAATGGTCATATTACATAAAGCTTTGCATGTTGTGAAAACTTAGTGCGTTCTCCAGAAATTACTCCCTGTGCTTTATGACAACATATTTTCATGTATTGAAAAAGTTATGCTGCTAAATTTTAAGTTCTTTAAATTATAAGTTGTTATAAGATTTATCACTAAGTCCTGATTTTAGTTTACATAATTCATAGCTGCTTTTATACACACTGCTAATGAAAAAATCTTGATTTATTAAATCGGATGCGTGAATTGCCGCATCTAATTTTAGAAAAGCTTTTTGTGTTTTTGCTGAACAAATTTGATATATGTGACATTTGTTGCTCGACTATTTCTGATTAATGAGGCCCTTAGGGTTAAGGCTCTTTATGCAATTCCATTTGAAATTTATTATAAGTAGTATTTCATAGATGATTATAATTACATGGATTGCTCCTAGTGATTTTTTAATTCACTTTTTAAAAAGAAAGTTTTTCCAAGAACAATAAAGATTAAAATGTTGAGTTGGATCATCATATTTGTTCAATTGAGAATTCTCTTCTCCATTCTCTAAGTTTTTATCAAAATAGCCACTCTTATCTCTCTAGAACCTTCTTCTTCCCTCACCTCTTTCTCCTCTCAAATCTCATTTTCCCTCTGGTATTCCTGGCCATTAGGTCTAGTTCAAGGTCATGCCTTCCTCTTCTTTCCCAAAAGTGAGTAGAAACTATGTAAAGAGTATATATTAATAGGAAAGAGTATATATTAATAGGAAAAAAGCCGGTTCCTTTAGCAGTATTGAGTCTTTCTCTCTCCAACTCAGCCAGAAATGCAGGTACACTATCCAAAGAAAAAGACGAATGAAAATGCTCCAAACACTTTTCAGGAATTGTCAACTAGAACTAGAAAATAGGTCTTAGGGCTTTGTTTTTGTTTTGGGGAATAGGGAGGCTATTAGCAAATTTTAAAGCTGTAGGAAAATCAAACTTAAATAGTATTAGCATTATCAGTCATTTGCTTTATAGTCTTGTTATAAGTGTGTGTACCATGCTTCCCCCAAAATAAGACCTACCCATAAAGTAAGCCCTAGCAGGATGTCTAAGAATGTGCAAAATAGAAGCCCTACCCAGAAAATAACACCTAGTGACGGGCGTGGCTGCGCAGCGCATCTGAACGACCCATGCGTGTTGTCGCGGAGCGGGAAAGAACATGAGCAGCCCTTCTCATCCGCCCCGTGAGAGCTCTAGTGCTCCACAGGAGAGATCGGGGCCAGTGGTTCTAAAGGAAACAGAGTCGCAAGACATTCAGGATGGGATTTGGGGTTTGGAGAGTGATGATGATGTTCCAGAAGAAGATGACTTAACTCAATGTGAATAAATGTAGATTGTTGTACCATACTTAAAAAAACAAAATCCCCTGACAATAAGCCCTAGGGTGTCTTCTTGAGGAAAAATAAATATAAGACCCTGTCTTATTTTGGGGGAGACACGGTATATATATATATGAGTGTGTGTGTGTATGTGCTTACGCACACACACATGCTTAAAATGAAGAATTGACATTACTTCATCACTTAAGGGAAAACCTAGATGTGTAACAAGTTTTAAAGTTTTTCTCTTAAACTTCTAAAAATAAGATATTTGGGGAAGAATGTTAATTGTTTCAGATCAGTTAAAGTCAATTTAGTCAAAGTCACGGTCCAGGATGTGAAAATTTCAGAAGTAGTTGAAGATAACACATTTTGCAAATGACTTTCTAGCGTATATTTCCACACTCTTCCCTCAATAACTTAATTTACCCATTGAAAGAATACCTTGTTCTCTGATAGGAATTCAGTCATAACCATATCATCAATTAATCTTTCTAAATGTCTCAAAAAGAAGTTACATTGACTCATGCACTTAGTGAAAAAAAAACAAAAAACAAAAAAAGAAAACATCTTATTTTTCAGGATGTCAAACTTGGGGCAGTTTGAGTCTGATTTTTATCAATCTAATTATACCATTGATAATCAAGAGCCGAGTTGTAATGATTCTAATGCCCATGGACACCTCTACGGACGTGGAAAGTAAGTACTTTATCTTGTTCTCATTTTAAGAAGTCTCAATATTATGGCAAGGGGCTCTAGGTGGGGAGGTTTCCTTGAGAGAAGTCAAAGTTTGTCTCAGTATATCTCAGTGAAGTCCCCAAGGGAAAAAAATGTCACCAAAGGGCAGAGAAGTTAATACATTTCTCTCCATCAATGCCCCTTATCACCTGGGGCCCAGGCTGAGCGAACGACTTGTCTCCTCTTTTTAAAATACCATTTAACAGGGAGTCTGAATACAAGTCCTGGGCAAACAAGCAAGTGTTTTCCTTTCCCCTGAGATTCCCCAGGACGCTTCTTGAGAAACACATTTCACTTAATTTAGTAGACGTTGATAGAATGCCTGCTTGCGTGAAAAGAAATTAAGAAGGGTACTACAAACCCAAAGGTGAAGACGACATCCATAGTCTTCTCCCTCACAAAATGTATGATCTTTATGCTAAGCAATTGGGCAATTAAATATGCAATTATAATACACTGTGAATAGTGTGCTGTCACGGAGTCAAGGCAAACATATTTCAAAACATGTTAGTTATTTACAATGAAAATTGTCCTTGGGCTGATAAAAATAAAATGATAAAGAATTTAGCGTTTGTCTTTTACTAAGTAGCAAAATATGGCATTTAGAGTGAGAAGAATTTGGGTTCAAATTCTGGCCCTAATAGATGTTGTCTTTGTAATATTGGAAAGACTTCTTTTACTGTCTTAATCTGAAAAATAAGGACATTCATAATACCTACTTTATAAATTTTAATGGGAAACAATTGTGATAGTGTGTAGGAAAGTATGTTTTAAAGTAAGATCATGATATGAGTATTATTTATTTATGCAAGGATGGTTCACAAAAGCAATTGACACTTTGTTACCCAGAGACTTAAACATACTGTATTTGGTTACACAGTTGTTGTTGTTTTTTTTTGTTTGTTTGTTTTTTTGGGGGGGGATGTTGTTTTGTGGACAGACTCTTCAACTTTCATAATGACTCACATTGAGCTGTTCATACGTGTTAGGGACTGTTCTAAGACGTATATAAATTAACTTATTGGATCATCGACCAACCGTATGAGCTAGGTACTACAGTTTGAGCATCCCAGATCTGAAAATCCGAAATCCAGAATGCTCCAAAATCTGAAACTTTTTGAACACTGACATGACATTCCAAGGAAATGCTCCCTGGAGCGTTTCAGATTTATGATTTTCACATTAGAGATGCTCGACTGGTATGTATTCTGCAAATGTTCCAAAAAAAAAAAAAAAAAAACTGACTATGGAGGGATCAAGCTAACAAAAAAACAAAAAAGAATAATAATTAAAAAAAAAAAAAGACAAAATCTAAAAAAACTCCTAAATCTGAAGCACTTCTGGTCCTAAGCATTTTGGATAAGGGACACTCAACCTGTACTATTATTCCCATTGTACACATGAGAAATCAAGCAAAAGGGGAAATTAAGGAGCTTTCTTAGGGTCTCACATCTAGTGAGAAATGGGGCTCAGATTTTAGCCAAAGTTTGTTTGATTAGAGGCACAACTATGCGAGCATATGCTTTGTGGTAGAATCAAGACATTTTTGAATGTGAAATGCGTGCTATTAACAATCACGTTGCGACAATAGGAATAAATTGCACCATCTTAGGCAAATTAGGATGTGTGGTATATTCCAAATGTATTAATTCTTGAAGATTTTTTTTAACGCATAAAAAAAAAAAATACCTCAACAGCCCCAGATAGAAAGAAGAAAAGACTTAAATATGACAGGCAGTTGGGAGTCTTTTGTTCCTATTCTGGCCAAGAAAAAAATTGCACACTGTTTTCACTGACCGATCATTCCTACAGACAGCAGCTAATGATGCTGTTTTCACAAGCTTCTTCCTAGCTACTCCTGCTGAACCACTGCTCTAAAGGATTGGGAAAGGCATTGAGATATAATGTTTTTAAAACTGGAAACATTAAATATCTGGGATTCTATCTCATTCACACCCCTCTTCTATCCTGTCCAACACCGGTCCGACTGCCTTTTATGATTTATACTTTGGAACAGGGGTCCTCAAACTTTTCAAACAGGAGGCCAGTTCACTGTCCCTCAGACCGTTGGAGGGCTGGACTATAGTTTTTAAAAAAAAACTATGAACAAATTCCTATGCACACTGCACATATTTTATGTTGAAGTAAAAAAACAAACGGGCAAAAACACCTGCATGTGGCCCTCTGGCCGCAGTTCGAGGACGCCTGCTTTGGAAGATCAAGAAAAAAATAGAAAAGTGTTTGGGGCACAAGGAGTAGTTTCAGCATGAAGGTATTCCAGCCTGCTCATTCTAAATATACAGCCCACAGCGAGAGCTATAAAATAGGCTTTTCCAGCTCTGCTCTCTCCTGTTTTGTAGAAAGGAAGCGGTTGCCTTGAAACTTCTGATTCTTTTCTCCCTTCTCTTTTCCAGATGTGATAAGCAATTGGGCAGCATCTACATTTACAGACTAAACTATCTGAAATATTCCACACGTCTTAATTTGCCTCAGATAGTGCAGAGAATACAGACTAAACTGAACTATTCAGAGAACTTTCTCCTTAAACCGGTACTCATGGACCACACGGCCTTCTCCCTGCACCCCACCTGCTAAAATGTGCTTTCTCCATTTGACTGCACCTGTCAACATTTCTCAGAAATCAGGATAACAAAGAGAGGATTCCTCCTTTGGAAATAACCAAATGAGGAAAGCTCATCATTATATCAGGTTGATGGCCTTGCTTGCTTTATTTTTATTTTTTATGTTTTTTTTTTTTTTTTCCAGACAGAGTCTCACTCTGTTGCCCGGGCTAGAGTGAGTGCCGTGGCGTCAGCCTAGCTCACAGCAACCTCAGACTCCTGGGCTCAAGCGATCCTCCTGCCTCAGCCTCCAGAGTAGCTGGGACTACAGGCATGCGCCACCATGCCCGGCTCATTTTTTTTTTCTATATATTTTTAGTTGTCCAATTAATTTCTTTCTATTTTTAGTAGAGACGGGGGTCTCGCTCTTGCTCAGGCTGGTCTCGAACTCCTGACCTAGAGCGATCCTCCTGCCTCAGCCTTCCAGAGTGCTAGGATTACAGGCATGAGCCCCGCGCTCAGTCCCTCACCTGTTTTATACGCTTGGTATTTAAATCTGGGGCCTGATTTGGATGCAGCAACATTTAAATTCCAACCCACACTGTATGTCTTAGGAATTAGGAAAGGGCAGATTCGCGGTGGTAGTTTTATGAGGTGCATAAAACATGGATTCAGGTCAGTGATTTACTGCTAGTGTACATCAAAGGACCTCCAGAGAGATGATCTTTTATTCATACCATGAATAGTTCAATTAAAATATACCCCAAGTAAGAATAAGATGCTTATCGTCCTGATAAAAGATATAGAAAATAGTTATAGAGGATAGATATAGAGGATAGTTATAATCAGTCATTCAGCTTCTGTGTTTCTGTCTCTGTCACTTCCTCTGTCTTTCACTCTCTCCCTCCCCTCACCCCTGCTCCCAGTATATGGGGGCTTATTTTAAAAATTCTGTTTGGCTCAACAGAGCACTGATCCAAAAGCTGATTGGCTGTGCTTACTAAGACAACGAAGATATTTGTATTTAAAAAACATTTATTATTTTAGAATGAACAAGGAGGAGCTTTCACTTAAAAACAAACAAACAAACAAACAAAAAAAAATAGCCGGGTGTGGTGGCTCACACCTGTCATCCTAGCACTCTGTGAGGCCAAGGCTGGTGGATCGCTCAAGGTCAGGATTTCAAAACCAGCCTGAGCAAGAGTGAGACCCCCATCTCTACTAAAAATAGAAAGAAATTAATTGGCCAACTAAAAATATGTATAGGAAAAAATTAGCCGGGCATGGTGGCGCATGCCTGTAGTCCCAGCTACTCGGGAGGCTGAGGCAGGAGGATCGCTTGAGCCCAGGAGTTTGAGGTTGCTGTGAGCTAGGCTGATGCCATGGTAGTCTAGCCCAGGCAACAGAGTGAGACTCTGTCTCAAAACACACACACACACACACACACCTATTCAGTAATTCAGATAGGGGTAATTCCCAACCACCTATAGCTGGTTACCTAGGCTATATTTTCCCACCATATTTTTCCAATTTTTGAAATGGGAAATCTATTTATATTATTTGGAGGAAGAAATGGACATTGCTGCAGAAAGGTGAGGACAATTCGAAAACTCCCTTTGAATGTTCTGGTAGGATTTTAACAGATCAACACTGAATCATCATCTTTTCTGAATCTTCAGACATGATCTTCTACTATTTCAAACACAGTTGATAGCATCACTTTTCACCCGGCTGAACCAGCCAGGATCTGGGAGTGTTGTATGAGCCAATACCCCCAGCTACCATGTTTCCCCCCAAAATAAGACAGGGTCTTATATTTATTTTTCCTCAAGAAGACACCCTAGGGCTTATTTTCAGGGGATGTGTTATTGTTTTTTAAGGACGGTACAACCATCTCCATTGATTCAAATAGAGTGAAGTCGTCTTCTTCTGGAACATCATCCTCACTCTCCAAACTCCGAATCCCATCCTGAATGTCTTGCGACTCTGTTTCCTTTAGAGCCACCGGCCCCGATCTCTCCTGTGGAGCACTAGAGCTCTCACGGGGCGGATGAGAAGGGCTGCTCGTGTTCTTTCCCGCTCCGCGACGACACGCATGGGTTGTGCAGATGCGCTGCGCAGCCACGCCCGTCACTAGGGCTGATTTTCATAGCCACGCCCATCACTAGGGCTGATTTTCATAGCCACGCCCATCACTAGGGCTGATTTTCATAGCCACGCCCATCACCAGGGCTGATTTTCATAGCCACGCCCACCACTAGGGCTGATTTTCATAGCCACGCCCATCACCAGGGCTGATTTTCATAGCCACGCCCATCACCAGGGCTGATTTTCATAGCCACGCCCATCACTAGGGCTGATTTTCATAGCCACGCCCATCTCCAGGACTGATTTTCATAGCCACGCCCATCACTAGGGCTGATTTTCATAGCCACGCCCATCACTAGGGCTTATTTTCATGGCCACGCCCATCACTAGGGCTGATTTTCTGGGTAGGACTTCTGTTGCGCAAATGCTTAGAAATCCTGCTAGGGCTTATTGTATGGGTGGGTTTTATTTTTGGGGAAACATGTTACTGTTGCCTAACGGTGCCCTTAAACTGATTCTATACAACGTGGCTTTGCAATTTGCAAAGGGCACTTAGAATGCCTGCTTTTATAGCCTACGCTGGAAGCTTACATAGAGAAAATGTAGCTGGGCAGCCAGGCTAAACTTTTTTCAGCCAATAGGGCATTTTTTGTGTTGTTGTAGACCTCTTCTCCGGTTTAAGGTGGCGTCACACATTCGGAAAATATTTGTGGTTTCGAGTTACGAAGGGTTGCAATGCCACCTAACTGAAAGAAGCATACTTATACTTGCATATGAGCCCAAATGTGGAGATGGAATTACAACGAATGGTACTGATCTCGGGGTACCTATCTCACCACCTGAAGTGCAGTGTTGTTCTCCTAATGACACAAGGGGTGAACTTACTACCTGCCTTCCCCCAGGGTCAGACTGGACAGAACTTCCATTACCATGGAAGTTCAAACTTACAGTTTTGGAAAAACAACACCTGTCATAAAATGTGCAATTAATGGTTAAGTTATGAAACACAGAAAACAGCCTGCAGGCAAAAAACAAACAAAACGTATCTTGAACCATAGAAATTATTACAACTGACTCTTCTGTATTTGCATCGGAAGACAAAGGTTTAAGTCCTGCTCACCCAGAAACAGGTCAAAAATTTTGCCCAGCTTGATATTTGGGGAAGATTGATATCTGGGAGATTGTGCCTTATCTTAACACAACATTATGAGAGTAAAGACAAACCTCCGGGGGCTAGGTAGAATTTCATAACCCCAGGTCTGAGTGGTGAATAGGGGAATGTTGAAGAATGGGTGTGTCTATAGAGAGTTCTTTTATGTAGGCTAGGTGCATGGCCATTGCATTGAGGCCCATAGAGAAATCCTCGCACAGGTATAGCGGAGATTCTCCTGGTGGAAAAACAAAGGACTAGTGGGGTGTGGAAGTTGTTTTGGGCGTTCCAGGGAACCCGAAATGGAAATAAAGGTTAAAGATGATCAGCACAGAAGGGACACAGACTTTTGACCACCTACTGATGCTGGTTTTCTTTAAGGAAGTGACAGACAGGGAGACAACTTGTTACAAACACAGAAAATGCTATTCCGGAGCGCCCGGGAAGGTGGTTAGAGTGCATTACCGTAAGTCTCAGGAAGAAAGGAACATGCAAATACTTAGCTCATTGATTCTTCGATCATTTCTCCTAGTCCCAACACAATCCTCAATGCTTTGCTTATTTTAGCTAATTTAACTCGCAGCAGCCCTGTGAGTTCTATTATCCTCATTTTACGGATGAGAAAACTGAGGCACAGAACGTGAAGTAGTAGTTTGTTTAAGATTATAAAACAGGGATTTGAACCCTGGGAGTCGAACGTACAAGGTGACATTTGCTAATCACTCCCCTTGTTTAAGGATAAATCCTACCATTGGATTATCAGTGCAAGAAGAAATGTAGCTCCACCACACTGGAGAAGGGAACTATGATCAAGAATGTTACTGGCTGTTCCAAAGGAGTCTCACAGTCACTTCACAGTTGCTGGGAGTGATTTTTACAGGAAGAGGAGACATTTAGTGACAGAACTCATAATTTAGATCCGACCAGCCAGAGTCCATTGTTTCACTTGGTGTAATTCGGTTGACATTGATTTCATTCGGAATAACGCGCTGAATTACAAATTATCACAATTTCAGTACTAGCTCTGCCTTAAGCTCATTAAGGATGCTATGAGATCCAAGAGAAGAGTTATATTTTGTTGGTGGACTCCAAAAGACTCCCATTGTTGTGCGGGGTATAGATGCATAACGCTAACATCTTAAACATTGAGCATATTAATCGGACTCAATAAGTTGCCTCTAATAGGGTAATCATCAAGTCCTATAGACTTAACAGAGCCAATAGTGAAGTGTCCAGTCCCATTGTCCTAGAATTTTTTTTTTTTTTCCATGAAAGGATTGTAGGCTTGAAAGATGTCACTAAGAATGTAAGAGAACTCGTTGGCATAGCCATGCAGACTTAGTGCTATCTAGTAAAAAAAAAAAAAAAAAAGCATAATACCAGAAGGCATGGGACTAAGTGTAGTCTCATGATATACACTTAAAGTTACGGTTGTTCATAGCAATTTTGGGGAAAAGGCCTCAAACATGAGAATTGGGTTAGGTTATTTACAGAGGTTTTCGGGTGAGACTTCGGACTAATAATATGATTATTTTGGTATTGCATGGGTTCTGTTCTTCGCGATGTCATGTTAAATATTACAGTCAGAGTGTACAAAGTCGGCCGGGCACGGTGGCTCACAACTGTAATCCTAGCTCTCTGGGAGGCCGAGGCGGGAGGATCGCTTGAGCTCAGGAGTTCGAGACCAGCCTGAGGAAGAGCGAGACCCCGTCTCTACTAAAAATAGAAAGAAATTAGCCAAATAACTAAAAATAGAAAAAAATATTAGCCGGGCATGGTGGCACATGCCTGTAGTCCCAGCTGCTTGGGAGGCTGAGGCAGGAGGATCGCTTCAGCCCAGCAGTTTGAGGTTGCTGTGAGCTAGGCTGATGCCACAGCACTCTAGCCCAAGCAAGAGTGAGACTCTGTCTCAAAAAAAAAAACAGTGTACAAAGTCAAAGTTATAAGATAAAAAAGAAAGAATTTAAATTTTGACAGCTATAAAAGATGAGCATGGCAATTTTAGTAATTAAAGGATTTTGTGTATTAAGGGGACTTTTATTAACCAACAAGCCATTCAGATTCTTATTTATAATTTTTTTCTACCAATACTTTTCATAGTGTGCCTACTTTGCTGAAAAAAAATTAAGAACATAACAGATGGCTAAATTAATAACAACAGTAGGTAATCAGCATATGTTCTTGGGCATTCGAAAAATATTACCCAGGTCCCTTCTCCTAATTAGCTTACAGTTGAGTTAGTGAATGATTAAGTGTTTTCGTATCTCTCTCTGTCTCTCTGGCTTTCTTTTCCAAAATAGGTTATTTTCTTGGCCAGGCTTACTCCTATGAAGGATGTTGAGTATGTTATTCTTAGATTTCATATTAAGATTGATGTTGGAAGAAAAGTATTAAAAGCCATCTTGCAAGTATTTTACCATGAAGAGACCATAGAGAGTTCAAAGTGCAGAATCGTAGATTGTATATTTGGCTTAGCCCCACGGGCTTTGATGGAAGAAACCTAAACATGTTAGTGGCCAACTCTTCATGTTTCTTCCCTTTCTTTCAGGTAAAAACAATATAAAATGGACAAATAACCTCACACACACACACTCTTTTTCTTTCCTTTCTGTAGCTCTAACAAGAAGTTATTTGCAAAGACTGTTGTTTTCCAGCTTACTCATACAAATGGTAAAATGAAAAACCAAAACACAGTCAAGGATGTATTGAAACATCCTTGGCATTGTTATCAATATTGTTATCAATATTTTGGCAAAACGAAATTCCTCCTTTCAAAAGAGGGACTCTAAAACCAGCTACAGGACACATTTAGCTACACACAATAGATAACTCAATTGGCAATCCTTGTCTGGGAATGGCCAGAACTGGAAAATGTATTATTTCTTTACAGACTAATCTGCAATCAGTTTAGGAATTTATTTATTTATTTTCCTACGAATTGACTCTACTGTTAAAATTATGATTTTTTTTTACTTGGTGGTTCCACAGTCTTACGAGGACATCACGGTTGGTCATTGTCCCTGAAGATCTACAAAAAAAGCAGCGTGTGAGGTTAGCAAAACACTGCTCATTAAACCTCAGCCAGAATCCCACACCTGCAGTATTATTGCAGGATACCCGGCAAGTCACTCAGTCTCTATGAACCTCTACTTCTGTAAAATGGGATTAAGAACACATTTTTCCTTGTAGAGCATTAATAGAGAAAACATGAGGGGGACGTGTCCAGCACATTGTACATCCTTAATTAATATTTGTGTCAGCACGGATCATTTTCTAGAATTCTTCCTGTGACCAGTTATTTCACTCCTTGGGAACAAATTATTTCTTTCATCGGTAAATATTCATAAAACTAGGTGAAGTCATGAAAGAGAAATTGTAGTTTTCTTTTACTTGATTTGTTATGATATATATTTTTTCTTTAGATGTATAAATATGAGCACTTTTCTTTTTCTAGACAAGCGGATGCTCAGCCTCAGCCTGCCTCTTTTGTTCCACCAGAAATGCTCATGCCACCAGATTACGCAGGACAATTTTTTCAGCCAGCTTCCACCTCGGATTATTATTCACAATCTTCTTCCATTGGCAGTTTTGACGAAGAGCCTCCTTTGCTAGAAGATAAGTTAAGGGAGTGTTATTAATGTGTGTACAGCTCAAAGAATAATAGCAATAATTAGCACTTAATGTGCACTGCCAGTATGTTTTGTGTATAGTGTTTTATGTGTGATCACTACTGTGACAGTAGTTTGCAAAACCAAGGCACTTAAACCGTTGAAAGTTTGTTGCATGTTTGTGCAGGGAAATTGGAAGTAGATTTGTGCTCCTGCTGTGACATTTCTGTGGCCATTAAATACTTTTTTCCCACTGTTTCTTAAATTTGGACACCCTGGCCATGTTTAGACGACAGCAAAGACATCTCTTGGCAGAGTGGTAATATCAAGGCGACCACCCTTCCCACCCCAATTAATGAAGCCCTTCAGAACAGCATATGCTTGCCTGGGAGCAAGCGGGATAGCTTCTCAAATTAATATTTTTGTTGTTGTTGACATGGAGATATGCCTTTTTTTTTTTTTACTTTCCATGATTTGTATGAGCTCTTTCATCTCAGCTTGGTGTGGGTCAGTGGAGAAGAATATGATTGCAGGAAATAACACTGATGGTGGGACAGGGACCCAGAGACTCTTGGAGCTGAAGGTCCTTAAGGGATCTCGGAGATGTTTCATTTATTGATTTTATACACACACACTTGCGCACACACACACACAGCTACTCTGTATCTGCTGATTTTGCTCTTAAAGAATGTCAACATGATGCTAGCAGCATATGTGCTAAAAAAAAAAAAACAAACAAAAAAACAAAAAAACAAACAAAAAAAAAAACCCTAAAACTCAAGGGATTTAAATTTGAGAGCCAAGCAGAAATAGTCACTGGTTAACTACTCCAAGTCTTTGATATGTATGTAGTCAAGAGAAAAGGAATAGATTAAAATTTTCCATATTTTAATATCCAAAGATTATTATTTGTCTGATATGAATACAGCCAGCCACCTGGAATTGAAAGATTTCTTCTGTTGTTGTCTTTATTTTATTTTATTTTTTGAGACAGAGTCTCACTCTGTTGCCCAGGCTAGAGTGCCGTGGCATCAGCCTAGCTCACAGCAGCCTCCAACTCCTAGGTTCAAGCGATCCTCCTGCCTCAGCCTCCCGGGTAGCTGGGACTACAGGCATGCACCACCATGCCAGGCTAATTTTTTGTATAGATATGTCAGTTGGCCAATTAATTTCTTTCTATTTTTAGTAAAGACAGGGTCTCGCTCTTGCTCAAACTGGTTTCGAACTCCTGACCTGGAGCGATCCCCCCGCCTCGGCCTCCCAGAGTGCTTGGATGACAGGCGTGAACCACACCGCCTGGCCTATGTTTAGAGACATTTGTATAGCCAAAATATTTATTATCTAGAATATGTATTTCAAATATTTTTTTTTCCTAGCATGTGTTTGCCATCTAATTTGTTTATAGGTATTTCAGGGGGCATATAAAAAATGTAATACTTTTGTTTTAAGCCCAGAATATTTTTTTTTGGTAACTTTTCTTCTTTCCAATTGCTTTTTTGTTTACAATCTCTTTCTCCAGCTCTGAATACTATTTATATCCCTTTATAGATTCTCAAGTTTTTAACATTTTTTTTGTTTTATATGTAAATTTTAGACTTGAGAGTTGTTTTTAGCTTAATATGTGAAAGTAAGTATTTAACTTTAATTTTTTATTTATTGGTTCATCAATTTTTTTCCTGCAACATTTCTACTTATCAAAAACATCTCTATTACTGGACGCTACACTCTATGCATCCTCCTATAATATCTCCTTCAATGTGAATAGAAAATAAACACCAGATTTTCTTTCACACTTTTTACAGCTTAGAGAAAATTTTCTAGATTTTTTTTTTTTCTGTTTGTGATCCTCTGTACCAAATATATAGTATAAGAGAGCACCTAATATAATTTCGCATTTGGAATCTATGAAATATCTAGTCTTTTGATCCAATATGTTCTTCAGGCTGGGTGACTTGTGAAAATCTCAAGCCTCATCTGTCTAAAAATATGAAACACTATAGTCAGGATTTCTATGATAAGGTAATTAATAGTATTTGCTAATTTTTACTGAGCACACATCAAAACAGCCTATAACATTATGAAGCTATAATAATGGACATTCCTTGCACAAGAGCATGTTATTTTGAAAATGTGTTAATTTATTCCTTAAGTGCTTTGTCATCTAAAATACTTATTTGGTTTTATGTAAGAATAATAACTTTCGTATTTGATAATATACAGCCAATATGTTAACGAATGCATCTTCAAAAATAATAGTCAATTCCAGTCTGTCAGACTAGAAAAAATTACCGATACTTGGCATTTCGTATTTGTAGCATAGCCTGATGTTTATATACGAAAAGCTAAATGCCACAATTTACATAGAAAATAAAGATTTTAATTCATTTTTATAGCATATCTATCATATGCTTTACTGCCACTAGATGACAGCAAAACAATAAATTTTGCATTCAAATTTCACAGCAGTTTCATCTTTTATTTTGTATAATATGGTATTATATTAGGATCTACAATTAATAAATACTTATAATCTCATTCACATACCTTGTAATAAATTCAAAACCAAAATATTATGGAGCAATATTTTAGAAGAAAGCACATAAAATCTTTTTTTTCTTACCAAAATATTTAGTAGGTCTTATGCTCATTTATTGTTTCATGACTCAATGTTGAAACATGTGCAGAAGTTAATTATGCCATCAAATAAATGGTTAGAATCAGTAAGGATGCTGCATAAAGCATTTTTCATCTGAGTCTTTTTTTTTCAGAAATAATTGTGCTTTTTGAGGAAAAAGGCATTTGGAATTAAAGACCACTTTATTGTGGCAAATGCTGAAAATGCATTGTTAGCATTAATGCCAAAATTGAAAAATAAAGCTTGAAAACAGCATAAGCCTCGGGTGAAATTAATTCGAAATACACAGCATCTCTCAATTTTTAAATTCTTATGCTATTTTAAAAATTATGTTAAGCACCCTAATCTTAGTTTAAGCTTGGTGACCTGCTCATATTCTTTAAATAGTACGTTCATTAAAAAATATACAAACACACTGAAAATAAAGCATGAAATATGGAAGTTGAAATGTAAATTGTTTGCTTACTATTAATTTAACTGGTCATTTTTTTTTTCTTTGCAAGCTCGGAATAGCAAATGTCATCCTGGGCATGAAATGAGTAAAAATACCCTTTCTGTCTCAGTTCAGACCAGTGTCTAGATGACAGTCTGAAAATTTCTGGGTTTTTAGAGCAGGGCCCCTCTGTGTCATGAGAATCATTAAAAGTGCATCTTGTATTCTGCACCCAGAATGTCAGGTATGCAAGGTATTTAAGAGGGACGCGCTGCTGTAAAAGAAGTTGAGCTATGCCCTATATCTGACCAAAGAGGGTTGCTAAAATCCTTGGAAGGGAAGTTGAATGTCACATGTAAATAAATTTAAGAAGACAGTCGTTCACATGGGAGAATTGGGCTTAATTAAAAAAAAAATACAACTATTATGAGAGTAGATGCACATTGACCAAACCAGAACTCTATGATTAAAAGCATGGAGTCTAGCTGGGCGTGGTGGCTCACGCCTGTCATCCTAGAACTCTGGGAGGCTGAGGCAGGCGGATTGCTCGAGGTCAGGAGTTCAAAACCAGCCTGAGCAAGAGCAAGACCCTGTTTCTACTATAAATAGAAATAAATTAATTGGCCAACTAATATATATATGTATATATATATATTTTCTATATATATATAGAAAATCAGCTGGGCATGGTGGCACATGCCTGTAGGTAGTCCCAAGCTACTCGGGAGGCTGAGGCAGGAGGATTGCTTGAGCCCAGGAGTTAGAGGTTGCTGTGAGCGAGGCTGATGCCACGGCACTCATTCTAGCCTGGGCAACAAAGCGAGACTCTGTCTCAAAAAAAATAAAAAATAAAAAAAACAAACAAAGCATGGAGTCTGAAGTCAGACTGTCCAATGCTGAAACCTAGATTTTCTATTACTAGCTCAAGTTACTTAATCTCTCAAAACCTCAACCACCTGCTGCATAAAACAGGAATGAAAGAACATTACTAGCTTCACTGTGTGTGTTTAAGACCAACACATTTCAATCTTGCAGGGCCCACAGTAAACCCTTAGTAAATGGTAGCTCTTTTTAGTTAATATGTCTGTACTTGTAATAGTTTAGCTTCAGTTCTTCCTACCTTCCACCTCACCTGTATTGAAGATTAAAAACAATAGAAGGAGGATAATCAGCTTGATTGCTATTGAAGTCATACTCTTCTCTTTGTTCTCTTTTCTACTCTTATTTATCTTCATAGGAGTAGTGAGAAAAGAAACCAATATGGTGTCAATAGTTATTTACATGTTCAGTGGATATCAAATGCCTGAGTGTTCTTCTTTATAAAAATATTAGAGGAACAGAATCTAGCAGAGGAGCCTGTGTGTTGACAGGAAGAAATCTTTGGAAAAGAAGCATAGGAGGAAAAAAATTTAGAAATTTCTACCTGAGTTTGGACTCATGGACACTGGGCCCCACTGACTGTGGATATTTTATTCCAACACTACCATTTATAAAAGGGAAAGTTTAACTTGTCTCAATAATTTAATCTTGGAATACACAGACTCAATCTCACAGTGCCTTGACCTTATAAAAGTATTAGTGCACATTGCGATTACTTTTATGTGCGGAAAGAACCCTCCCCTTTTCTCCTCAGTGGAGTTTCAGGCGTTTAGCATAAAATTTCTCTTTTCATTAGGCATAGTGGTAGTAAAATCCAAGACTTAGATCATCATTACTTTAGATAGTACGGCTAATAGAAAAATTATGCCATAGTGGACACAACAAGATTTCAGAAGTGGTAGCAGTTGAAAATATGGAAAGAGGAAATATCTAAATGGGCGATAGGATGAGGCTTTTGGTCTATTAGCTACAATTTTATCTTTGACTGCATATTGTCAGTTTCCCAATTTTTAACTAGATTTTAAGTGTACACTTGCTATATAAATCAGGAAACGTTTTCTTTTGTGGAATATTTCTCTAAAATATTTAGGTTATGTCATTGTTTGACAATAAAAAGGGGTGGTTTTCTTTAGTTTTTTTTTTTAAGGATTCCTATATATTACAGAACTTTAGATTCTATGTAAGATAGAACATAACACTTTAGAAGGTATAATAGGACAATCAGATTAAAATTCTAAGTAAATTAATGAACTGGGCTAACCTTTAGTTAGAGAATATAGCATTTATATTTTTCTATGTTTATATTACTCTGTTTTTCTTTTTGCAGAACTTGGAATCAATTTTGATCACATATGGCAAAAAACCTTGACGGTGTTAAACCCAATGAAACCAGCAGATGGCAGCATTATGAACGAAACGGACCTCACTGGGCCCATCCTGTTTTGCATTGCTCTGGCAGCCACCCTGCTTCTGGTAAAAGGGGACAGCAAGCGTCAGATTTTAACGCTTGTCATTTTCAGTGTCCATTCCGACAGGTCTTTGTAAACATGGAGGAGAGTATGTTGCTTTACGTAGTGAAAATGGCTTTAATGCATGACTCAACTTTTTAAGTGAGAGAGAATATGTAATCAAACCATAGTGACGAAAAGAAGCTACTGCTCATGGATGACAACAAATGAAAACATAAGTTTAAATAGAATTTCAAAAATCAAACCACCAAGTCAAATTTTCCCCAAAGCAAGAGATCACTTATGTCTTTCTTGTTATGAAGAAAAGACTGTCAGGCTGGAATAGTTGAAGGAAAACATGGATTTGGGAGCTATAAGCCCTCAGTTTCGGGCCAGGCGTGGTGGCTCACGCCTGTAATCCTAGCACTCTGGGAGGCCGAGGCGGGCGGATTGCTCGAGGTCAGGAGTTCGAAACCAGCCTGAGCAAGAGCAAGACCCTGTCTCTACTATAAATAGAAAGAAATTAATTGGCCAACTAATATATATATGTATATATAATTAGCCGGGCGTGGTGGCACATACCTGTAGTCCCAGCTACTCGGGAGGCTGAGGCAGGAGGATCGCTTGAGCCCAGGAGTTGGAGGTTGCTGTGAGCTAGGCTGACGCCACGGCACTCACTCTAGCCTGGGCAACAAAGCGAGACTCTGTCTCAAAAAAAAAAAAAAAAAAAAAGCCCTCAATTTCATTTCTTGATTTTTATTGTGACACTGAGCAAGTCACCTCTCTCCCTCTTTGGTCATCATTTTCTTCGCTGCGGTATATCCCAAGAGTTATTTTAATAACTAGATATTTCTAACATCTTTCTAATAACAAGATATTTCTAATATCTTGTGAAGTAGGAGATGAGTCTCCTCGTTTCTGAATAAAGTATGAATTGTTTAGGAATAAATAAATAAGTTATTTATGAAGAAAACAATTTGCAATGATAACCTATGATTCGTTTACTCAATCTATATATTTCCTCTATAATTTAGTTTTCTGCTTTTTATGGAGGCATTTTTCCCCCTAGCTTCACTGAATATCTTCTGTATGGGCCCCTTTCATTCTTTACACCTGGAAGCAATGATGTTAAGAGTCATCAAAAGGTAAAGAAAAACATGTTTCCACCTAAGCCAAGTTTAGAAAACATTCTAACTCATAGCTTAAACAAAAAAAGAAAAGAAAAATAAATGAGAAAAGGTCTCTAGTTTTACGGTGAGGAGGGACTAGTAAGACATTAAAAACAAGATGGAAACGATCAATTCAGTCTGAAAAGTATAGTTTCATTGAGGCACAAAGAGCTAAACTTGGCAGGGGAAATAATTTAGGAAATTAAAGACTCTAGGAACTTTTAAGATAACTTAAAATAACTGTTTAACACTCTTCCCCCGCTTACTGCTATACACTTCCCATAAAAATAATTTTCCCTTAATGTAGCTATAATTTTTAAGTAGTTATGAAATGCATTTGCAACTAAATAAATTTTGCTTTTCATTTATTAATTATATGTTATCAATCAAAATACTGATAGCAGTACTAGTTTCTGCATGGTGCTATGTCCAATAGTCACATCATAGATATCCTCTACAAAAGTATTTAATGATAACATCTTATTTCTTTCTTCGTACTACATACAGCACATGGAAATACTCTGTAAATCAAATGCTGTATTGACTAGAGTTTTAATTTAGTCTCTAATCTCCGTTCTTCTGTCTTTGCCACAGCAATTTGATAATTTTAGATTAAGCTGCTAAGTAAGGCCATGCCAATTAATCAAATAGTCAGAAACAATCAATTTAATATATTAACTCATCTTTCTTTTTCAAGTCATTTGTAATATAACAGCTGTTTTTCTGTAGGAAAGTATTACAGTTAGCATTCCTTAAAGGATAGCATTAATCTCACTAAAATCTCTCTTTCATGTATAATGTTAGTTGGAATCATTTAAATATCCTCTCTTATGTTTTAAATGCAAAACATTATAGGCAAAAAAAATTCTTAAGTGGAAGTGAAAAAATTAGATCTGCCCTAACTTTTCCACTGGCTGTGATCTTGAACTTTTGGTTTCATATTTATAGGCCCTCATTTTATTTTCTTCAAGACAAAAGGAGTTTCTTATGGTTCCTTTGAGTTCTAAAATTATGGAGAATGTGTGAAAATACCAATTTTCTAAATCTTTTTATGCAAACAGTTTCCCTTGGATTTTACCATTAGATATGGTAACTTTAGAAATGATTATGATAAATACAGAGAAATTAGGAGCCCCCCCCCAAAAAAAAAACCTCCAACTGGATATTAATTGAAGATTTAACTCAGAATTCATTTGGTGCTAAGTTAACTCTGCCTTAGATATCTGGAATTAAAATATATAGAGTGATTTTATAGGCTGATACAGGAATTATACTAGAGAAAGCAAAACTAAATCCAGAACCAATATCCAAATCTGTTCCCTATCTCCAGATATGTAACATTCATAGTCATAGACTCATCGTTTTTATAATTTATGTTGATGTAAAGACCCGATACTTTCTAGTGGGCTTTCTCCAGGTTGAAGGAGATAAACCAAAGAAAACAGCTTCAAACGCTTAACACAAGCTTTAGTTTTACTCGTTCTTTCCCCTAAAACTATTTTGAACCCTGACACCAAGATCTAGCACCTCTTATATTATCCTGGATAGAGACTGAGCCCATCCTTCGAAGTGAGGTATCACAAGGATGGAAAAACATGTACCGCATATATTTGCCATAAAATTGGTACTCACCGATCAGCACTAAGGTGCTCACATGGTAGTGACACTCACTGGGTGCCGGTCAGGTAGGGGGAGGGGGGTGGGGGGTGCAGGGGGGGTAAACCCACAGTTAATGGAAACAGGGCACATTGTATGGGTGAAGGACATGCTTATAGATATGGCTTGGGTGAGGCAGATGCATCTCATGTAACCAAAATGTTTGTACCCCCATAATACCCTTAATTAAAAGAATAAATAAATACATAATTTTTAAAAATATTAAAAAAATAAAAAATAAATAAGTGGTTTAAAGCAAATTGCTCCATGCGACTTTTCTGGTAGGGCTAAGAATATGATCTGGAAAAACAATATCCGTGGCCAATATTAAAAAAGACGCATAATCAGAAGAATGCTTAAGTATTTTAAATTAATATGTGGTAATTAGGGAGGGCTGAAAACTTGTGAGGTTAAAACATGGAACATTTATTTCTATTTCAATTATAAGCTCTTGTTAAGACTTTGAAACGAATTTTAAAAATAGCAGCGATGCAGGTCAAATACAATTACAGCCTAAATTGGACAAACCAGCAAGAGGAAGCCATGAAGAGAGAGGTCCATAATTGATAAAGAAAGGCATAATTTTACTATCAGTACCAAATTAGTTTCATCCACCCTGTATTTGCCATGCTCCATTTATAAAAATGCCTTTTGGGGCCACAAAGATACAGTTTATATGTCCTTTGGGAATAAGGAAATTGTCCTACCACATCCAACCAGCTTTATCTTAGACTTATCCCATCCGAATTAAATATTAAGTAGAATGTTTTTGTAATACATGAAAGTAATTTGAAATTGCCAATATTTTCCTAGTAGAGGAAACCTATCCAATAGGGCAGTGCATACCTGATAGCATGCCCATAATTAGCATTATTCCCTCAAATAGGTATAAGAATAAAAAAGATTTAGTGAGACTTTATCAGTGGCCAATGCTGAGGAGAATTCTATCACCGTAGTCCCTGATATTTTATGAAAAACTTAGTAGTGACCAACCTCTCTAACTGCAGAGGAAGAAGAATTCACAATATGTGGACAATTTTTTTTTTTGGACAGAGTCTCACTCTGTTGCCCAGGCTAGAGTGCCATGGCATCAGCCTAGCTCACAGCAACCTCAAACTCCTGGGCTCGAGCGATCCTCCTGCCTCAGCCTCCCGAGTAGCTGGGACTACAGGCATGCGCCACCATGCCCAGCTAATTTTTTCTATCTATTTTTAGTTGGCCAATTAATTTCTTTCTATTTTTAGTAGAGACAGGATCTTGCTGTTGCTCAAGCTGGTTTCGAACTCCTGACCTTGAGCGATCCTCCAACCTCAGCCTCCCAGAGTGCTAGGATTACAGGCGTGAGCCACTGCGCCCAGCCTGTGTGGACAATTTTTAACACTAAAATGATCATCACATTCTCTATTACCCTAATTAATAATTGTAGAATATGTATCTCTAAAGAACTTCATGGATAACCACCATGGAGAAAGAAAAAAATGACAGCTAAAAAGTTCTCCCTATGAATCAATTTATCAACTCCTTCATTTCTTTTACACAATTCCCCTGAAAACCAGAGTTAGCCTCTTCAACCTCTATCTAGAGGTTATAATCAACTTAATGCAAAGACAAAAATAAATAAATAAATAAATGCATTATTTTACTGGAGTTTTGGCATTCTCAGGTAGCAAACATTAAAAGACCTCCTGTTGAATTAATATCAATAGTAGACTGTGACTTCCCTGGGATGAATTTTTTGGGAGTCCTGCTCCTTAATGCCTTGTGAGTGATGGCTGGTTTTCGAGTCCTCCTTCGAAGCTTAGTGGTGTGCTCTGAACTCCACCAACTTCATTTAGCAACGCCCCTTTTATGATTCATTACCGGTTGGTTTATATAAATCAGGTTTTTTTCATAAGACGTCGTCAGTCAGTGGTGGAGTGGGCACTATGAAGAACAGAAGGATTCTGTGGTCAGATAAGTTTGGGATGTGCGGAGTTCAATGTGGTTAAACAAATCCCATTATTTTAGGACTTGTTAGTGCTCCTGTTAATGTTAGAGACCCGAATTTTAGAGCCAGAGTGCTGGGGTCCCTATTTCCATATGGTTGTTTATGTGGATTAAATAATATACATAGGACACATAGAATGGGACCCGACATAGTAAATCCGATAGATGTTTGCTAATTTTACAAACATGTCTTGTCCATCTCCAGGACTAACTTGGATGTTTTTTTTTTCATTCCTTTATTTTATCATTCCATTATTCAATAAATATGGGCACAAAATGTAGCTTTACAAGTCCTACTAGACAATCGATGATACAAGCCTAGCGATATTTCGTCTTTCTTTGTAGCATCTTTGTTCCATCCCAAGTATAGTCAGGGATATTTGCTTTTAGGATCTGAATTCATTCCATAGGCAGTGTTTTATTTTTTTCCAGAACCTCTAATCTCCTAATGATAATGATAGGGAAAAATCCCCACCCCGGGGCCCCATGGCTGAACTCACTACTGATTGGATATAAAACTTGTTGCTGATTGGATGTTAAAGCTTGTTGCTGATTGGATGTTAAAGCTTGTTGCTGATTGGACGCTTTTTGAGTCCCACCAAGGGTATAAAAACCAGGGGAGAACAAGGAAGTGGGGCTCAGAAAGGGAGCCCACTGGTAGCATAAAGGTTGATTCTCTGACTCTCTGTGTGCCACTTGGTTCTTTCCCTGGTCAGTTCCTGTTACGCTTGCTGTTACACTTGCTGGAACAACAGCACTACAAAGACATGGGGCAGAGTTGAGCTGACTCTAAAATACCTTCTGCTTTGTTGACGTTCAGATTTGCTCTTGACGTCTACTGTGTGTTCAAACCGTTTTCTCCACGTTGTTTCAGGCAGGCAAAGTCCAGTTTGGTTACGTGTACGGCATGAGTGCCGTAGGCTGCCTTGGTGTTTATGCCTTACTGAACCTGATGAGCTCTTCCGGGGTGTCCTACGGCTGTGTGGCCAGCGTGCTGGGGTACTGCCTGCTGCCCATGGTCATCCTGTCCGGCTGCGCCGTCTTCTTCTCCCTGCAGTAAGTGACCGTGTGCTCCAACGTTGCATGCATGATCATCGCAAAGGCGTGCCACCCCGGTGCAAAAGCTGAGCTCTTTCCCATCGTTTTGGTTGTGGAATTAGGGAAACAACAGCTATTGAAAGTTACACACAGTTTGAGAAAAGTAGGTCATTGGCTCAGGTGCTAGTCCTATCTCAGTGATTTAAAAAATAAAGTAAGCCAAGTTATCTTTGAAACTGGCACTTTTTTATTTTTATTTTTTATTTATTATTTTTTTGAGACGAGTCTCGCTTCTCTGCCTAGCTATTTGAGTGAGTGCCAATGGCTCCAGCCTAGCTCACAAGCAACCTCAAACTCTGGCTCAAGCATCCTCCTGCCTCCAAGCCTCCCGAGTAGCGGGACTACAGGCACGCAGGCCACCATGCACCGGCTTGATTTTTATATTATATAATTAGTTGGCCAATAATTTCTTTCATTTTTATGGTAAGACGAGGTCTCACTCAGGCTGGTTTTGAACTCCTGACCTGAGCAAATCCGCCCCCTCGGCCTCTCAGAGTTGCTAGATTAGCAGGCGTGACCACTGCGCCCGGCCCTGAAACTGCACCTTTTTTAAAGTCGTCACATTTTCCAATGTGACCTGTTGTCGTGTGTCAAATAACAGCTGTAGAAAATGCACTCGTTTGATTTTGGAAGAGTAAGCGGTGAGCATGGACAAATTGCTTCTGCTCCCAGGCCTTTTGCTTTGTAGGCTAGAAGCAGGGGTTCTTTCTCAGCTGGGCTTTTTGCACTGTAGTGAATTCCCAGGAACTCAGGATGTTAAGGCTGGAGAACTTTGTAGCAGTATATGCTCAGTCAACACATTTGTTTCTTTCTCTCCCCTCACTTAGGCAGTTAGCGTTTGCAAGTCAAAGCTATTAATAAGGCTACAGTAGATACAAGTTTCTGCTGGGCAAATTTCCCAGAGTATTTGCATATCACTACCACTTGGGTGAGGAGGGAAAGCAAGCAATTCATTCCATAGTCCTTTGTCGACTGCTGGGTTCTAAACCCACTTGGAAAAATAAACATTTGGGGTCAGTGTTCATTCTTCTACACCCAAAGGGACACAGGTTGCATTTTCTTCTTGAGTAATGCAAGTCCTAGATTATTAATGCTACCCTGGTGAGGATATTATATAAAGAATTTACCAGTGCCAAAGATAAACATCTTAGGAAAGCCCTTAATGTTTTTTGTTCAGTATGATCACAGATAACATTTTTATGACATCATCGAGAATGACTTATAAATGCTTTTCTTGTTTTATTATGGTGTCATTTTAAAAATGACGTTCCCGAAGAATAACTTAGAGCAGACCCTTTATCAGCAAGTACTCAGCACTTTAAAGAGAAGAATGTGGCGGGAAATATATACCTTGAATGTCTAAACATAATGTGAGTTATAGGTATATTTACTGAGTCTTATCCATGGAAAAATCTCACATTTCATATGCTGTTTCCTTTAGTAAGCTGTTCGATTCACTCTGTTATTTAGTACAGAAGTTTGGCATGTTAATACACAGTTCAGTTCTGTAACTTCTACTTTGCTTTTGCAAAAGTATACCATTATGATTGATCTATGGTTTAAAAATTCTAAAGTTTAAACATAGTTTCCAGCAAAGTTGAGATTCGGAGCATTTTAAATAACTTCAGAATAGTCAGAAATAGCAAGAAAAGAAAAACTAGAACTTTTGGATTTGGAGAATCATTAGAAGTCTGGACTTTCTTCATTCTGAAATTATAAAGGATGATCTGGAGATACATTAAATTAATATTAAATGGGGAATAAAACTATCTGACCCCTGAGACTATTAAATTGAAATTTACTATCTCATTCAACTTAAATCAGATGTAATTTTACATTTTCGTTCACAAAAACATGTACATTAAATCACTTTAGAAACTGCTCCTAATAGGTATCTATTAAACCAATAAATATGGTATTTATTGGATGCTTTTAAAAATATTTTTGGTTTACTGATAATCTGAGGCATTATAAGCTATCGTGTACAGATTTTTACTTGTTTTGCTTCAGTGAAATTATTAAAAGTAGATATTTCTGTCATTCTCACGAATAATAAACACAATTCCCAACTTCAGAATCAAACCAGGACCAAGTGAGGCAGTGCAGTTTGATGGTGGAAACAGCAAAGTGCTAGGAGTTTGGAGAGCTTGACCCAATGCCTGCTTTCCTGAACAAGTCCCTGCAGTGCTTTGAAGCCGGGCACTGGATATTTCTTGAGTTCTCTCCTAGCTCTTATGTCTCATTTTTCTAATAATCTATTGAAACTATAATGCCTGAGCAAATATGAATGGCTATTTGAAGGGTTTTTTGTCCAAGTTGATGATTGGCGAGAGGTTTGTTGAAAAGAGTTTATGCTGAAAGGAATTTAACTTGGGAAATCTTGCCAGACGTAGCCGTCTAATAAGATCAACGAAGCATTAATGCTTATCATTCATCAAAGTGGCAGATTTACATTTCCGACCTATCATTTTAATTAAGCAATGTTTTTTGGGGTTTTTTTTTTAGACAGAGTCTCACTCTGTTGCCCAGGCTAGAGTGCCGTGGCATCAGCCTGGCTCACAGCAACTCAAACTCCTGGCTCAAGCGATCCTCCTGCCTCAGCCTCCTGAGTAGCTGGGACTACCAGGCATGCGCCACCCATGCCCCGGCTAATTTTTTATATCTATTTTTAGTTGGTCAATTTAATTCTCTTCTATTTTTAGTAGAGTCGGAGTCCTCACTCTTGCTCCAGGTGGTTCGAAACTCCTGACCTTGAGCGATCCTCCTGCCTTGGCCTCCCAGAGTGCTAGGATTACAGGCGTGAGCCACTGCACCCAGCCAAGCAATACTTCTTGATTGATAGCAGTTATGACGCAAGGCAGGTAAATAGGGGACAGGTTATAGGTATGCAAAACATTAGGTCGGGCTGTAGGATTCCTTGCGGAGAGGAAAGCCCAGGGGCCTATGCAAATCATTATGAAATGAATGCTTTTGTAGCCAGTGTTTATAAAAAAAGGTAATGCTAGGAATAAAAATATCTTTGCTGGAGGGAGTCCAAACAACTTATAGAATAAGCAAACTCCCTGGGCAGAATGAAAATTATCAAAGGCAGAGTCATGAAATGGCATCTTGAGGCCTCTACAAACAATTGCATTCTATGCAAATCCTGGGAATTCTGAAAGCATTTTATGAACATTCCTCTAAATACGCTTTTTTTTTTTTTTTTTTTTTTTTTTTTTGAGACAGAGTCTGTTGCCTGGGCTAAGTGCATGGCATCAGCCTAGCTCCACTGCAACTCACATTCTCTGGCTCAAGAGATCCTCCTTGCCTCGAACCTCCGAGTAGCTGGGACTACAGGCATGCACCACCGATGCCCGGCTCATTTTTTCTATATATATATATTTTGTGCCCAATTAAATTTCTTTCTATTTTTAGTAGAAGACGGTCTCGCATCTTGCTCGGCTGGATTCGAACCTCCTGACCTTCGAGTGACTCCCGCCTCGGCCTCCCAGAGTGGCCAGGATGACAGGTGTGAGCCACCACGCCCAGCCTCTAAATAAGCTTCTTGATACAGAACAACCTTGCTTGTAACCTTGTGGCTGGCTCTCCTGCCCCTCAGTGGCAGTAAGTGACCCCTCCCGAGCGAAGTTCAGAATGGCAGTTTTGCTACTACGGCCCACACTTTTCATTAAATACAGGATGAATGCCCCTCGTTGTCAGGTATTAAAAGGCAAGACAGACAGTGGTGGTGCCTACAGGTGATGGTCTCACTGCATGCGGTGACAGGCATGGCCCAGTCGTCTCCTCGCCCAGCGGGAGCCCCCTCCTAGAGCTCACTGTACCTGGTGCAGTACTTGTCCTCCCGGGTGCTCACTGTCCCTTCCCCGGTGCTCACTGTCCTCCGCCTGCGCCATTGCCAGCATTCCTGCCTCCTGTGGGCATATCGACATGTCATTCCCCCACGTGCGGCTTCCCTTCCTATCTAGCAAACCGGCACACGCCCCTCTGCGCCAACGAACCCCTGCAAATCCCCTCGGTCATTCTCAGGAGATTTGCTGCTGGGACAGATGAAACTCGAGGTTATTATACTCTTTCCGGTATTGCTGGGAATCGTACTTCAGTTGCCAAAAATCTCCTCCCCAAATTAATACCGGTTCCAAGGGCCTATTCTTTTTCGTCATGGAGTTTTGGTGGACGGTAATTACCAGTCCCAGTGAAAGGTTTAAGGGCTAAAGTGATGCTGATATATCGTGCAGTGGCACGTTCTTCTCAATCAGGCGAAGAATAAAAAAACCAAACCTCCATTCCAGCCCTCTGTGTCGTGGGCTGTCAAGCTAACTCGCCTTCTGAAGTTTTGGTGTTTACGAAGAGTAGAAATGTTCATTGGTCTATCAATACCTTAGGGGTTCTTGTACACAAACAACAGAAATTGACTCTATTTATATTTTTTAAAACCAGATGTATAATAGGACGCAGCGATAGATCATAAACCAACCCATAAGGCCAGAGGACCGAGACGGGAAAAGGCATAGTCCTAAAAGACCAGGTACAGGCATTGCGGAGATAAAGCCTAGCCTGGCAGATACATAAACACAGGGGAAATAAAACCCCGCGGAAAGCCACAGGTGGGCTGGAGGTGAGTAAACCAACCTCATGGGTACTGCGAGTGCTAATTTGTGTGATGGCACAACCTGTAGCCCAGACCTCAAGCATTCAGAAAAACGATCCGTGTAACCGTCAGATATAACCCAGCCACCATGACTAGAATCGGGTCCTCCTGCTTCCTTGAATATGTCTAACAGCTCCTCTGCCCCTGAGCACGTTATCAGGATCCCGGTGCTCGAATAAAAGGATGCAGTCCGGCTTGCCCCCTAGTTCGTGTGTGTGTGCCACTATGTCAGAGACAGAGAAAACGAAGAAATATCCCGCTTTGGGATACCAGGGAATGAAACCTTTAATAATAGGAAGCATGGTCGGTG